GTCTCGCCTCAAACAGAAAAACCTTGTTTGAAGTTCCGTACTAAGTGAGTGTGTCTTGTTTTTCCTGTGTGTGTGTACTTATTGTGTGCGTCATTGGCTGTTTAAACTCTCTGCACCCGCTTCAAGTTGGCGCAACCAAAGTCACCACACACCATGTGTCAACGTCTTTCTTCTGGTAAATACATCTTTTTTAAAACGTTTTTCTTAACTCAGCTTCGCGTTTGTTTGTTTGTTGTTAAAATTGACATCGAAAATTAACCCACTTCTGATTGCTCTAGAGCTCTGAAATTTGGCAGGCAGGCTACTTTCGCCTAACAATTTCAGATGCAATCATAAAAACTAGCAATTAGAGACCGTAATTAGCTTAATTTAATTACGCCCGAAGGACCATAAAACTGAGGACATGATTTCTAAAGATACCGACAAGACTGGAGGCATATTGACACATTTACTTCGGCCCCAATCGATGTGAGCGCGCTGGCCGTGATCGTATAGTGGTTAGTACTTCGCGTTGTGGCCGCGACAACCCAGGTTCGAATCCTGGTCGCTCAAGATTTTTTTAGTCCGTGTATTTATAAACACTTAGTCAAGTCATACTTAATCAAGTCATTAGATAAAGTAGAAAATAAACTATATAAAAAACTTTTTTAAAAACCACGTTTTTTATGTGTAGCAACGGACTAAAAAGGAGAAAATAAAATACTTAAAAAAACTTTTTAAAAAACCACGTTTTTCTTGTGGACTAAAAAGTAGAAAATAACTATTTACATACATTTGATGACTAAAAACGTGGGTCGGGCAGATGGGTCGGGAAATTTGATGGTGAACGTACCCACGTTTTTTGTCATCAAATGTATGTAAATAGTTATTTTCTACTTTTTAGTCCACAAGAAAAACGTGGTTTTTTAAAAAGTTTTTTTAAGTATTTTATTTTACTCACCACTCTGTAGCTAGGGGTGATGACGTCATTTAAACTCGGCCGTGCCGATGTTGGATACACATGAACTCGACGGTTTGCCGGACCTTCGTGTATAGGCCGATACTGTCGCAGGTGACGATACTTGATCCTGAAGTCGAGCCTGACCTCACTTCTAGGTTATAAGTATCGTTGCTTGCGATACCCGCTGTACGACTATGGTGGTACGGCTAAATTTACGGGGTTTTTTTTTATTGTGCGTTTGGTGATACGAGTTGCTTTGCTAGCTTCATTTCATAAGGGACAATTAGTCAACATTACAGAGGGTTCAAAATGTGTGTATGTATATATATATATATATATATATATATATATATATATATATATATATATATATATATATATATATATATATATATATATATATATATATATATATATATATATATATATAATATGTGTGTGTGGAAAAATGTATGATCCTATTTAGTCCTGTTTAAAAACCCATGCACAAAAGAGTTAAGGTTGCGCATATAAATTTACCCTTTAAAACACCTTGTTTTTTTTTCTATATTGAAGCCTAAGCCACTTGGCAGAAGCGATGAGATACGCTATGTTATTTTCCCATACCCGGTTTTTAATGCACCCTAGTTTACACTTACCTCAATATATGTATACTTATATTTTTTTTTCTTCTGGCCCTTTTCAAGCCATAAGCAAACCAGCGAAGCGTGCAGCGCTCCAAAGAATTGGCTGCCTATTTAAAACCAGTAACTGAGGCACATCAATCTATTACACAGATCCTTTATTACCTACTCGTATTCACTCTGTAGCCATTCACCTTTCTCGTATTAGTGCATACACATACATGACCTTGACTGGATGGGACTAGTTCAGACGGTAACTTCGGTGACTTGAGCACAATGGATGCTTGATTTTTGAGCATGCGCAATAAGAGGGGGAGTTTATAAAACGCGTGTATACCACCTTGACTGACCACCGGGATGTTTTGATATTAATCTAAAGGTGGTCACCTAGCAATGTTTCTTACGGTATTCTTCATGGGAGAGGGGTGTGTGCCGCTTCAAGAGTACGTCCATCGCCACCCCAAGGACTAAATGAAAAAAAATATTACCTCTCCTCGTAAGGTTCTTCTCCCCCCCCCCCATCCGGAGCAAAATGTCTGCAAGATTTAAAACCTCTGTCCAATATAACTTTAATTTGTTGGAATGAACAATGTGTGTTGTTGGAATGGGTTTTACTTATGAACCCATGCGCTGTATTGTTCACAGGACGTCTGTCCCCTGACGTTGTTCACATGTTGCTCGTCTAGACTCTAGACTATTTGTCACATGCCCGTTTCAACTCTACATCTTGCACTCGGCTACATTGACCTCGTCTCTACGTGGCGATTGCTAACACTTGTTCACGCTGTGTCTACGCCTCGTTCGCTCGTCGTCGTAAAATCAAATTTTCATTTGCGATTAGCATTGTCTCTGCCTGCTTCGCGTGCGACCAGCATTGTCTCCGTCTACTTCCCATGCGATTAGCATTGTCTCTGCCTGCTTCACGTGCGATTAGCATTGTCTCCGTCTGCCTCACGTGTTTGTGCCTAGGTCCAGTAGCGTAGCGAGGGGGGGGGGGGGACATATGTCCCCGGGCGCCGACCTTAGGGGGCGCCAACCTTAGGGGGCGCCAAAATGGGTTGGAAAAATAAATTGAAAGGTTGAGGGGGGTGCAAATCAAAAGTTTGAGGGGTGGGGTGCAAATCGAAATCTCGAGGGGGGGTGCAAATCGAAAAGTTTGTCCCCGGGCGCCGGGAAGGGTCGCTACGCCGCTGCCTAGGTCTAAACCCAGTGGTAATGTCCATCTCTTGTTCAGTATGTTCCAGTCTCACTGGTTTACGTGGTGTTATCCACGCCAGAAAAAAAAACAACTGAACGACCCCGCCTGCTGATAATACCAGCCACTCTTATACTTTTAAAGTGCTATCACAAAGATCGTCAGATAAATTAACAAGTCAGCGTTAATTTTACACCCCTTTTTTTTACAGTAACACTTAAATCTTTTCAACATGGTCATAGGACTGACAATGTTCAGACTAGCCTTAATAATGTGTCCAACTGAGACAAACTTTTCTATGAATCATAGGCGAGCATTGTCTCGTGTCTTCACCATCACGGATCTATTTATATTGTTCACTTTTTGTGTCTATATAAAGTAATCTCGTGGCGTCAACCACTCGAAGCTTGCTGGTGACATTACATGGACAGATATGGTCCACAAGAGGAGAGGGTAACTCTTGAGTGCTGTGGATAGCTATCAAAGGGTCAAATCAGAAGGAACTTGAGTTTTACACACTGCTTTTTTTATAAAGAAAAAAAAAAGATAAAATGATACCCAAATAATTGGTTGGCTCTTCCACTCTAATACTCTGCATTTTATTTCATAAACACGTGCCTAATTTATATCACCAATTAACTTATATTTAACTTATTATTATATTATATTAACTTATATTACCTATTTTTAAAGTGTATCTTTTTGTAAGCATACTTCTAAAAAATAAAAAATTGACCCATTTTCAAATTACCTCCTTTTAAAGCTCCCCATTAAAAATACCTGCTAAAAAACAGTTCATTTAAGAAAAACCCACCCCGTTTTAGGATTTTCAGATCGCCAGTTTTAAAAAAAACAACTTCTACATACAGAACCAAAGTGAAAGTCTAGGCCATAGCTGGGATATCCCAGTTGTTGTTGTCAACATGTTGTAGCCTTGTGACCTAGTAGGTCTCAAAACTTTGGCCCAGTAACTGGGTGCTTTCCCCTGATGAAGGATTGTCTTTTTGACAGGGATTGCCTGGTCATTTGTAGGCCCCTACTGAAACCTTATTGAAGCTTCACACACACAGAATGTATTAAATATTACCATCTAGTCCAAACTTTCCCATTGTGCTGTAGTCTACACAGATAGATATAGCAGCAAATACAACTTTCACAAAATATGATTTTCTTATACTTTGTGTTAAAATTAGAATTGTGCACTGTTGCTGTCATACTCTTTATACTGATTTTTTTTTTTAAATTATTCTTTCCAAAAATACTGAATAAAAATTAAATTTGAAAATATTTACTAACTTGGTTTTTTTTTGCCGGTATGTATTGTAAGACAATTGTGATGACCTGACAGTATGAGATATGAAGAATATAAAACTGTAATAAGATACTGGCTCTTAAAGGTTTGAAAACAAGAAACAGGCACAAGCTTCATACATGTATTCTTCTTTTAAAACCTTGCCATTTATTTTATATGGGGTGGGTTGGGAATGGGCTCTGGTATCACCTGCTATTCAACATGTAGCAAAGTTTAGCTAGGTTAGTGTCATACTTGCTTGGTCATTACAGGAAGTAATCAGGACAATGGGGGTAATTGTTAACACAGCGGTAACTGCTAACAATATATATTAGTAATAAATTGGACAATGACTTTAGCAGTGAGTGGGTAGCATACAATTCAGAAGTGTGTTGGGTTCTTATATAAAGGTGGATTGGTAACTTATGATATTGAGGTGGTTTAGTCTAAATACAGATTTGTAATTGTTTTACTATAACATCGTTTGAGCTAGGCTAGTAATACTTTAGGGGTAATTTTGTAACATTATTTTGAGGTGAACTCGTATCAAAGTATATAGAACTGGGTAAGTAACATGGATAGGTGGGTTGATACTATTTAGAGTTAGTTTAGTAACATTTAGAGGTGGATTAGTAACATTATAAAGAGGCGTCTTTCAACATGGTTTAGAGGTGTGTCTGTAACATTAGCAAGATAATTCTTTGTAATATTTATGTTACATTGGTTTATTAACTCTTTGTAAAGACTTGCATTTTATCAGTGAAGTAGGCTTCTTAAATTGTCTTGTAGTAAAATGACTTGAATTGTTCTTTTACTAAGGTGCGTTGGTATTTTAACTTGTTGTAACAAGATGTATTAATATATTTAATGTTGTTTCCTCGCAGAGTTGTGTTTGTATATTAACTTGTTGTGACAAGATTTATCAATAGATTTAATATTGTTTCCTTACAGAGGTGAGCAGTGACAGTGAAGATCAGGATGTTGTGGTACCTATGGGACGTGCATGGCAAGATTCACACGTTGGGCAGCAAGTAGCAGAGCCTATGTCAGTAAGTCAAAGTTCATATGTCACTAAAGCCTATGTCAGTAAGTCAAAGTTCATATGGCACTCACTAGAGCCTATGTCAGTAAGTCAAAGTTCATATGTCACTCACTAGAGCCTATGTCAGTAAGTCTAAGTTCATATGTCTCTAGAGCCTATGTCAGTAAGTCAAAGTTCATATGACATCATAGTTCATATGTCACTAGAGCTTATGTCAGTAAGTCAAAGTTCATATGACATCATAGCTCATATGTCACTAGAGCCTATGTCAGTAAGTCAAAGTTCAAATGTCACTTACTAGAGCCTATGTCAGTAAGTCAAAGTTCATATGTCACTCACTAGAGCCTATGTCAGTAAGTCAAAGTTCATATGTCACTCAATACAACCTATGTCAGTAAGTCAAAGTTCAAATGTCACTTACTAGAGCCTATGTCAGTAAGTCAAAGTTCATATGTCACTCACTAGAGCCTATGACAGTTAGTCAAAGTTCATATGTCACTCACTAGAGCCTATGACAGTTAGTCAAAGTTCATATGTCACTCACTAGAGCCTATGTCAGTAAGTCTAAGTTCATATGTCACTAGAGCCTATGACAGTTAGTCAAAGTTCATATGTCACTCACTAGAGCCTATGTCAGTAAGTCTAAGTTCATATGTCACTAGAGCCTATGTCAGTAAGTCAAAGTTCATATGACATCATAGCTCATATGTCACTAGAGCCTATGTCAGTAAGTCAAAGTTCATATGACATCATAGTTCATATGTCACTAGAGCTGGTGTCACTAAGTCAAAGTTCATATGACATCATAGCTCATATGTCACTAGAGCCTATGTCAGTAATCCATGACTAATTCATATTTCACTAGAGCCTTTGTAAAAAAAAAAGGTAGCTACTAAATTTAAAATAAAACATCAGTGAGTCACATCAAAGCTTAGCTATTCATAACGACCAGTAGGTCATTAAAACACTATCATTTACTCCTGACACCACTGTGCTGTTCATGTGAGCCCCTCTTGATAGCCCTCAAATATAAGAGCTGCTTGTCCTCAAATGCCTTTATCCCAGTTAATTTCCCTTTTAATTGTTTGCTTGGAAACTAGTTTAAATGAGCTTTGTAAGAGTAATATATAAGAAAAACATTTTCAGCCTCTTCATTTAATTCTGATGTGATTTTTAATGAAACAAAACTTACTGAGTCAATTGTAAATCAGCTTTATTCAAGTTTTACAATTTGTTTCAGCTGTTTGCCAAGTTGTATATTTAACCTTGGCATTCCAGATAAGGAATAGATAATTAGGACATGTTCCTTCTTTTTTTATCTGGCACCTGGGATCAGGAAGCCTAATATAAACTTGATTTGGCTGCCCGGTTTGTTTGTTCTGTTGGTTAAGTCAGTGAAGTTTTTTAACCAGCTCTGAAGTATTGGATTGACATTGTGGAAGTTAAAACTGCTGGAGTATCAGACTGCCAGTTAAAGTCATAGTCAATCCAGTTAGGTTATAGTCAATCCAGTTAGGTTATAGTCAATCCAGTTTGGTTATAGTCAATCCAGTTAGGTTATAGTCAATCCAGTTAGGTTAGAGTCAATCCAGTTAGGTTATAGTCAATCTAGTTAGGTTACAGTCAATCCAGTTAGGTTATAGTCAATCCAGTTAGGTTATAGTCAATCCAGTCAATCCAGTTAGGTTATAGTCAATCCAGTCAATCCAGTTAGGTTGCTGTCAATCCAGTTAGGTTATAGTCAATCCAGTTAGGTTATAGTCAATCCAGTTAGGTTATAGTCAATCCAGTCAATCCAGTTAGGTTGCTGTCAATCCAGTTAGGTTGCTGTCAATCCAGTTAGGTTATAGTCAATCCAGTCAATCCAGTTAGGTTATAGTCAATCCAGTTAGGTTATAGTCAATCCAGTTAGGTTATAGTCAATTCAGTTAGGTTATAGTCAATCCAGTTAGGTTATAGTCAATCCAGTTAAGTTAAAGTCAATCCAGTTAGGTTATAGTCAATCCAGTTAGGTTATAGTCAATCCAGTTAGGTTGCAGTCAATCCAGTTAGGTCACAGTCAAATTAGTTCAGTTGACTTAGATTATAGACCAGTCATTTAGGTTGCTGGAAAGCCATTGAGGCCATAGTCAATCCAGTCAGGTCATAGTAAAGCTAGTTAGGCTATAGTCAAGCCAGTTTAGATAACAGGAAAGCCAGTTTAGATAATAGGAAAGCCAGTTTAGATAACAGGAAAGCCAGTTAGGTCATGGTCAATTCAGTTAGATCTAGCTAGACTGGTCTTTATGGCTCAATAGTTAAGGATTTCTGAATACATACTAATAAATCTGAATAAAGTAGGTTTTCTTCACAGGAGAGTCTTTCCACTACCAGTTAACCCATTAATTACAAAGTCTTATACATCATAAATTTAAATAACCAACCTAATATTACAAAAATAGCAGACGAGCTATTAACATACATACTAGTATAATATTTAAATTTGCAATGTTTATCTCCTTTTTTCAGCCCAGGAAAAACTCAAGAGATGGTTATCTCAACAAACAAGGGGGGTAAGAAGTTTTCCTTCTTCAGGGAAATCCCACAAATAATGAATATTACAGATTATAAAGATTATTTAACTGTTCTTTAAATGCAAACATTTTTTTTTTAAATTAAATTTTACTGGAAAATGTATGCTGTGAACATCTGTCATGTTTGTTTCCTGTTATTCTGAATTGCTAAGAACTTTGTTTTGTTGTACAGACATAATGCCAACCGCGGTTGGAGGAGGAGATGGGTTGTGTTCAATGGAAAAAACTTAAGTTACTACACTGACAATACAGTAAGTGTAACTTGTCTCATGAGTGGCTTTTTAAATGGGGGTTGAGTGCTGTCAGTCTTAAAGTTTGTATTGGAACATTTCATGTTAACTAGCCAGTATGATCATGGTTGTGTGATCATTATTTGAACTCAGGGCTTTATTTTTCTCTGATTTACCAGCAGAAAAACAGTTTTAAAAAATATTTACTTCAGCCACTTGTAAAAATGCATTAAATATTTGAAATTATTCTTTATTCTATTTAACTTTTGGTACTTAGCAGCGTTTATGGTTTTAATATAAAAATGTATCATTATCTTCTTGTGTTATTAAGTATGGCATTTTATTTTCTAGTCACAAGTATCAATTCGCATAATACCAGTGAAATGTATGGTTAAGGTGGAGCAAGATATTAAAGTAAGTTTTTTACTTAAACAAACAAAGCTCATGTTTATCCCTTGTTACTGTCATGATTGAACAAACTATGAGCGACGGGAAAGCTGTTTCTGAAATATGACACACATATTGTATATGGTACAATACTTGTAATAGTTGTTGAGATGTAGTTCAAGTGATGAAAGAACACAGTACTGCATAAGCGCAATATCTTTATCCTGTTTCACTTTTATTTCCATGAAAGCTTGTGGTGTTTTTGTGAAACAATAAACAATGCACAGGAAATATAAATAGACATTGACAGATGTATTTTACTGGCTTTTTCTGGGCAGTTGTTGTGTATGAGTTATAATACTATGAAAGAGTCATTGAGCAACAATTAGCTGAATCTGAAATTAGATATGGTTTGTTGCAAATTTTATGCTGAGTTCAGTAGGCTCAATAATTATGTGAAAGTAAGATTCCCTTGCAGCAAGTGAAGTTGAGTTCACCTGTTTCTGTGAACATTAATTAAGAAGAAAATTTAAGTTAGTGTTGTGAAAAAGTTAACCTTTTACTTAGAATGTATCTAAACAGCAAGGAAACAATTAGATAAAATGAACTATCTATTACAGGACAGTGATTTCAGGTTCAAGCTTCACACAACACTCAAGAACAGAGTTTTCTTGTTTTGCTCTGATACACTAGGCAAGTGATACATTCGTAGGATTAAACATATCAGTACAATTTAGTTTGGTCTCAGATTAGGACTTTGTAACTCTAGTAGGATTTGGATTATCTGTAACTCTAGTAGGATTTGGATTATCTGTAACTCTAGTAGAATTTGGATTATCTGTAACTCTAGTAGGATTTGGATTATCTGTAACTCTAGTAGGATTTGGATTATCTGTAACTCTAGTAGGATTTGGATTATCTGTAACTCTAGTAGGATTTGGATTATCTGTGGCGGTAACCTTTCAAATGTCCTCCTCAGCTGATTGCCTGAATTGGGCCTTGACTTTAGAGGCAGCCATCTTTGAGTATCAGGTAAGACAAACTAATTACAGGACTACTTTTTATTTACATTTCTCTTATTTAATGTAATTTAAATACTAAGGTTAGGTTAGGTTTGCCTGTCGCACCTCCTGGGACATAGGCCGCTGACAAGACAATTTAAATACTAAGCTCAACTTATTACATTTAACTAAAATGTGTATATAATTTTTGCTATTGTCATTAAGGATGCTTGAAAAATAGTAATTAAAGAGGTGTTAAAACACAGTAATAGATGGTCAACCAGTTTTGTGAGTCAGTAGTAGGAACTGGTCAAGACATTGGTTAATCCATGATTAAAATTGTTCACAATAAAGGGATATAACTCTTTTTTAATTTGCACTGATTCAACTTTTATTATCTCAACAACACATTACAGAAACAAAAAGTTGAAGAGGCCTCACTTGAAAAGCCTGATAAAGAGGTGAGTAATGACTCCCCCCCCCCCCCCTTCCCCCTCCCTCCACCTTGTGTATTGATTGTTGGTAGACCCATGTTAAACAGATAGTATTTGGTTATGCCTTGTTTAAAATAATGTGTAATGTAAGCTTGGGGTAATGTGTAATACAAGGCTAGACCAAGATAGATCTCATTTTCTTGTGTATGTTATTCACAGGCAAGAAGCAATTTGGTTAATTAAGTCCTAATTTAGATGTATCCTTGGCCTGAAATTGTATTAAGTAATTTTTAATGCTGATGATGTACATAAAATGTAATGTAGCATGTATTTTTTCCAGGGCTTTTTTAAGATAGACAGCTTCTCAAGAAAATATTATGTCACAATCATTGGTCCAATTCTACAGTACTATCATAGTTTTGAGGTAGTTTTAACAAAAAAAATTCTGCTGGTTTTTTTGTTGTTGTTTAACAATTAGTTTTCAAGTGTTTACTAATTCTTAATTAATCAGTCTCAAAGTTAAATTTGTTCTTTTAATAACCAATCCCTAAGCAATGACTTACATTTACTTGAAGCATTGTACTTGAGAATGTAGGCTACTTTTATACTTTTTAAATTTTCAATTACTTATAATCAGTATGAATCCAATTGTTTAAACATTTGCTTTCCATCCTGTTTAGTTAATACTTGTTTAGCTATTTAGTTCTAAAAATGTGTGTCCCTTTATTAAATTATTAACTGCATTGTGAGGTATTGGACTAATCAATTTGCCTTAGATTAATGTAATTAATATGTACTAATTCATTGCCTAACTGGCATGTACAAATCTTAATCAGGAATATCAACTGGGATCTCCGATTCATCAAATTGATATGAAGCTCGCATCAGTTAAAGTGAAAGAACGTAAAAAGTTCAAACTACAATTATCGACTCATTACCATTATTTTGAGTAAGTGACCATGTCAGTTTTTTGTTTTAAAAAAAAAAAAATTCTAAATACTTTTCTTCGAATTTTAAAATAATCATCAATTAATTTCATTAAAAAAAAACTCCGACAACTTGGTTTTAGGTACAAAACTGACAACCTTGTATTCCTTCTCCACCTCCAACCTAGTGATTTATTTGATTAGATTTAGACTATGAGTCTAAATATTTAGATATTGCTAATCGACCCCTCCTTATGTTTCTAGAACTGGCTCTGCGGATCCCTCCCTGTTAGTAGCTAATAAATCTAGCATGACCTCTATTGACACATTAATTGTGCTACTGGAAATGTTTTAATTTGGTACAGTGTTTGCACTCCTAACAATGTTAATACAACCCCCATTAAGACATGTTTTGTGCTTCTAGAAATGTTTCTGTGACTCTTTACTTTGACCAATCAACTTATACATTTATTGTGCTAGTTAAATTAGCTGTGTAAAATTCACAAATATTTTTATGAACTTGTATATGATAATATTAGTCTTTTTTATGATGCTGTTTACAACCACTTAGACTGACCTTTGAGACTGACACTGAAATGCAGCAGTGGCGCATGGCAATGGAAGACTCCATTGCTGAGGGTCTGTCAGATGACACTGTCCTAGAGAAAGTCTACAACAACCTCAGTAACCGAAATTGTGCAGATTGTGGTGCACCAGGTAAGGGTATGGTTGATTATTCAGGTATTTGCATCTAGGTAGTTGCTAGATACTTTCTGTTTATTTATTCTTTCTTTTAGTATTAAAAACAATTTCACTAATTTAAGTATTCTTTGTTAGAGTGCTGGTCAAATTGTTGGCTTTATTTTATTAAATTTTAGTTTGTTTCTTTTATATTGAAATAAGTTTTTAACTTTGTTTTTCATCTCTAATTATCAAATAGTCCAGAGCTAGGCTTCTGATCTAACTTATCTTGAGTGAAAATAGACATTGTATCTGAAAATACAATATAGATCTAGATGTGGGAAGTTGAGTTTATTCATAATTTAATTAAATGTCCTGTATTTTTATAAAAATTAATTATTTTTTTTCCAGATCCCCACTGGGCTTCCATCAATCTTGGTATTGTGGTGTGTAAAAACTGTGCTGGGGTCCACAGGACGTTTGACTACAGGATATCAAAAATAAGATCTTTAAGGATGGACACCCGCGTGTGGACTCCAAGTCTTATAGAGGTGAAGTAAACCACCAGTTTAAAGCATTAAGTTTATTAAAGTATTCATTCTTCAAGATAAAGCTTTTAAAATAAAAAGTTTCAATGAGGTTTAAAAAAGTTCATGCATTTAAAATCCCTAAACCTGAAAGTTTATATAAATTATATACAAATATTATTTCAAAGAATACGCTATTTTTACAGGGCATTTTAGTATTAAGTTTGAACAGTTTTAAAACCATTGAGATAGCATGTTGATGAGCTGAGTATGACAGAAAAGTAAAAATGTTTACCAATAATCATTTTAGCATCATTTTATGGCTGAATCTTTCAGATGAGTTAGAGACATTTAGCTAAACATTTATAAATTGATACACTTTGTTAAGGATATTTTTTTTTCAACTATGTACTTTGGTGTAGATATTCTTATTTACCCCTTTAAAAATTTTAATTTTTTAAATTAGGCTTGTTTAATTTAGTTCTGATAAAGTGTAACCTTTTGTTCCACAGCTGATGGTAACTATTGGCAATGCCAATGCTAATGCCTTCTGGGAGTTCCAGCTGCCAGATGGTGTTAAAGCGGACCCAGCAGATACCATGGACAAAAGGAAAGAGTACATTACAAAGAAATATATTGGGAAGAAGTTTAGTAACCTTCATGCGTTGTGCAGCATGGGGTCAGCAGCACTTGGCAAGGTAATCTCTCTTTAAAGATTCACCTTTTTTGCCTTAACGGAAGGGTCATAACTTTACCATAAACAGATGTTTTGTCATGAAACAATTTAATTTAAAAAAAGCTTTTAAATTTGTCTAATTTTAAAATGAAAAATAAATTTTTAAAAAAAGTACATATTATGTTAAAATTTTGTTTTATAAGATATTTTTTAAAGTTAATCAGATACAAAAATCACCAAGTTACAGCATTAATGTTTCTTACTTGTCTTTTTTTTTGTCAACAAAGTAATGAATTATCTTTGAAAAAAAAATGTTCACATTTGACTAACAAATACTAAATGGTTGTAAAAATATTTTTCCAATCACTCTAATGTTAGTATTTTTAAAAACATAAAAAAAAAACTAAATGAAAACTTTGATTTGCTCTAAAAAATTTTTTTAAAAATGATGAAATGCTGTAAAATAAATTAAATACTAATGTGGCTTTCAGTTTTTTAATGTAGCCTTATTGTTGTATGTTACTTTTATGAGACTTTAGTAAAACAACTTTTTTTTTAAAATTGATTATTATGACTACAATTTTTATATGCAACAAATGTTTAAAAGAACTGTTGTGCCATAAAATATGCCAGTGAAGTAACAGTTGCATGTCTTGTAGGAACTTGTGAGCACAGCCAGCAGTGACAATGTTCTGGAGACGATGAAGATCTTATTTTCTGGAGCAGATGTAAGTCAGCTCATTCTAATTGTATTTACATACTGTACTGGTGATCTTTTATTTATTTCTAACTAGGCATACTGCCTAGCTTCGCTTAGGTTTTTAAAAGGCATTTGAGAATTTGAATACTTAATTATTTAGCGATGGATTGGGTGTGGAGTGCTTTAATAAGTTTAATAAGTTTAATTTAAACAGTAATGCTAACTTTAGAAAAAATGTTTTTGTTAGTCATTTACATGCAGATTCAAAGCGAATTTTTGGAAAGTACGCAATGTATAGCTAAAATGGAATTAGAACTACACAGGTTTCATGAACAGTATATCTCATAGTTTATATTACATTGCCTTTGAAATTAATTAATTAATTTAATTAACATACTTAACTAAATTAACAACTTAATTTTGTACTAAAACAAATGCTATACTTCGTCATTTTCTGTTTCTGTTTAAAATAGTATACAATTATTTGAAAAATAATAATTTTAAAAACGTTACCTCCCTTGAAAACTGAACGTATGACGTATGTCATTGTTTACTTATATTGTTTGCTTATATAAGAAATTACGTTATATGAACATATTTAACGACTATAATGGCTGTTTCCGACGGGAATAAAGTTTTTTTGTTACCCTCCAGGGTCGGTCTACGACGTCACATAATATTAAGGGGATCGTTCGTCAATTTATTTATATATATATATATCTCATATAATGAGAATTTCACTCAAGACCATCTTTTAGCCCTCGTCGAGGGCTTTGAGTCTGACCAACAGTTTTTCCATACGGCCTAGTCATCTATAGTAGTGTATGCAAAAACTTAGCATGATGTACAGACATTAAGTAACCTAAAAATTGTGTTAAAATTTCCCTGTTTTTCCCCTAAAATACAAAGATTATATAGGGAAATACAACTGGTCAGTTTTGACCGCTTTACGAAGTTTTCCCAGATATGCCGTGTTTTTTATGACACCCCTAGGTGTTCTTCTACCACCTCACAAAATATCAAGGGGGGTCGTCGGAGGAATTTTTTTTTCGTAATAGAGCTCATATAAAGAGAATTTCACTCGCGGTCACTTTTTAGCCCTCGTCGAGGGCTTTGAGTGTAACCGACAGATTTCTCTAAAGGTCAAGCCATTTACCTATAAGCATGCCAAAACTGAGCCAGATGTAAAGAGCGTAAGTGCCATAAAATCCGTTTTGAAATGACCCTCTGTTTTCCCCATAAAATACAAAGATTATATAGGGAAATACGACTGGTCAGTTTTGACCCATTTCCCGATTTTTCCCGGACATGGCGAGTTTTTTGTGACACCCCAAGGTGTTCTCCTACCACCTCAGAAAATTTCAAGGGGGGTCGTCGGAGGAATTTTTTTTTCGTAATAGAGCTCATATAAAGAGAATTTCACTCGCGGTCACTTTTTAGCCCTCGTCGAGGGCTTTGAGTGTAACCGACAGTTTTCCCTAAAGGTCAACCCATTGACCTAGGAGCATGCAAAAAATTAGCCAGATATACTGAGCTTAAGTACCCTAAAGTCTGCGTTGAAATGACCCTCTGTTTTTCCCATAAAATACAAAGATTATATAGGGAAATACAACTGGTCAGTTTTGACCGCTTTACGAAGTTTTCCCAGATATGCCGAGTTTTTTGTGACACCCCAAGGTGTTCTCCTACCACCTCAGAAAATTTCAAGGGGGGTCGTCGGAGGAATTTTTTTTTCGTAATAGAGCTCATATAAAGAGAATTTCACTCGCGGTCACATTTTAGCCCTCGTCGAGGGCTTTGAGTGTAACCGACAGATTTCTCTAAAGGTCAAGCCATTTACCTATAAGCATGCCAAAACTGAGCCAGATGTAAAGAGCGTAAGTGCCATAAAATCCGTTTTGAAATGACCCTCTGTTTTCCCCATAAAATACAAAGATTATATAGGGAAATACGACTGGTCAGTTTTGACCCATTTCCCGATTTTTCCCGGACATGGCGAGTTTTTTGTGACACCCCAAGGTGTTCTTCTACCACCTCACAAAATATCAAGGGGGGTCGTCGGAGGAATTTTTTTTTCGTAATAGAGCTCATATAAAGAGAATTTCACTCGCGGTCACATTTTAGCCCTCGTCGAGGGCTTTGAGTGAAACCGACAGTTTTCCCTAAAGGACAACCCATTGACCTAGGAGCATGCAAAAAATTAGCCAGATATACTGAGCTTAAGTACCCTAAAGTCTGCGTTGAAATGACCCTCTGTTTTTCCCATAAAATACAAAGATTATATAGGGAAATACAACTGGTCAGTTTTGACCGCTTTACGAAGTTTTCCCAGATATGCCGAGTTTTTTGTGACACCCCTAGGTGTTCTTCTACCACCTCACAAAATATCAAGGGGGGTCGTCGGAGGAATTTTTTTTTCGTAATAGAGCTCATATAAAGAGAATTTCACTCGCGGTCACATTTTAGCCCTCGTCGAGGGCTTTGAGTGAAACCGACAGTTTTCCCTAAAGGTCAACCCATTGACCTAGGAGCATGCAAAAAATTAGCCAGATATACTGAGCTTAAGTACCCTAAAGTCTGCGTTGAAATGACCCTCTGTTTTTCCCATAAAATACAAAGATTATATAGGGAAATACAACTGGTCAGTTTTGACCGCTTTACGAAGTTTTCCCAGATATGCCGAGTTTTTTGTGACACCCCAAGGTGTTCTCCTACCACCTCAGAAAATTTCAAGGGGGGTCGTCGGAGGAATTTTTTTTTCGTAATAGAGCTCATATAAAGAGAATTTCACTCGCGGTCACTTTTTAGCCCTCGTCGAGGGCTTTGAGTGTAACCGACAGTTTTCCCTAAAGGTCAACCCATTGACCTAGGAGCATGCAAAAAATTAGCCAGATATACTGAGCTTAAGTACCCTAAAGTCTGCGTTGAAATGACCCTCTGTTTTTCCCATAAAATACAAAGATTATATAGGGAAATACAACTGGTCAGTTTTGACCGCTTTACGAAGTTTTCCCAGATATGCCGAGTTTTTTGTGACACCCCAAGGTGTTCTCCTACCACCTCAGAAAATTTCAAGGGGGGTCGTCGGAGGAATTTTTTTTTCGTAATAGAGCTCATATAAAGAGAATTTCACTCGCGGTCACTTTTTAGCCCTCGTCGAGGGCTTTGAGTGTAACCGACAGTTTTCCCTAAAGGTCAAGCCATTGACCTAGGAGCATGCAAAAAATTAGCCAGATATACTGAGCTTAAGTACCCTAAAGTCTGCGTTGAAATGACCCTCTGTTTTTCCCATAAAATACAAAGATTATATAGGGAAATACAACTGGTCAGTTTTGACCGCTTTACGAAGTTTTCCCAGAAATGCCGAGTTTTTTGTGACACCCCAAGGTGTTCTCCTACCACCTCAGAAAATTTCAAGGGGGGTCGTCGGAGGAATTTTTTTTTCGTAATAGAGCTCATATAAAGAGAATTTCACTCGCGGTCACTTTTTAGCCCTCGTCGAGTGCTTTGAGTGTAACCGACAGTTTTCCCTAAAGGTCAAGCCATTTACCTATAAGCATGCCAAAACTGAGCCACATGTAAAGAGAGTAAGTGCCATAAAATCCGTTTTGAAATGACCCTCTGTTTTCCCCATAAAATACAAAGATTATATAGGGAAATACGACTGGTCAGTTTTGACCCATTTCCCGATTTTTCCCGGACATGGCGAGTTTTTTGTGACACCCCAAGGCGTTCTCCTACCACCTCACAAAATATCAAGGGGGGTCGTCGGAGGAATTTTTTTTTCGTAATAGAGCTCATATAAAGAGAATTTCACTCGCGGTCACATTTTAGCCCTCGTCGAGGGCTTTGAGTGAAACCGACAGTTTTCCCTAAAGGTCAACCCATTGACCTAGGAGCATGCAAAAAATTAGCCAGATATACTGAGCTTAAGTACCCTAAAGTCTGCGTTGAAATGACCCTCTGTTTTTCCCATAAAATACAAAGATTATATAGGGAAATACAACTGGTCAGTTTTGACCGCTTTACGAAGTTTTCCCAGATATGCCGAGTTTTTTGTGACACCCCAAGGTGTTCTCCTACCACCTCAGAAAATTTCAAGGGGGGTCGTCGGAGGAATTTTTTTTTCGTAATAGAGCTCATATAAAGAGAATTTCACTCGCGGTCACTTTTTAGCCCTCGTCGAGGGCTTTGAGTGTAACCGACAGTTTTCCCTAAAGGTCAACCCATTGACCTAGGAGCATGCAAAAAATTAGCCAGATATACTGAGCTTAAGTACCCTAAAGTCTGCGTTGAAATGACCCTCTGTTTTTCCCATAAAATACAAAGATTATATAGGGAAATACAACTGGTCAGTTTTGACCGCTTTACGAAGTTTTCCCAGATATGCCGAGTTTTTTGTGACACCCCAAGGTGTTCTCCTACCACCTCAGAAAATTTCAAGGGGGGTCGTCGGAGGAATTTTTTTTTCGTAATAGAGCTCATATAAAGAGAATTTCACTCGCGGTCACTTTTTAGCCCTCGTCGAGGGCTTTGAGTGTAACCGACAGTTTTCCCTAAAGGTCAAGCCATTGACCTAGGAGCATGCAAAAAATTAGCCAGATATACTGAGCTTAAGTACCCTAAAGTCTGCGTTGAAATGACCCTCTGTTTTTCCCATAAAATACAAAGATTATATAGGGAAATACAACTGGTCAGTTTTGACCGCTTTACGAAGTTTTCCCAGAAATGCCGAGTTTTTTGTGACACCCCAAGGTGTTCTCCTACCACCTCAGAAAATTTCAAGGGGGGTCGTCGGAGGAATTTTTTTTTCGTAATAGAGCTCATATAAAGAGAATTTCACTCGCGGTCACTTTTTAGCCCTCGTCGAGTGCTTTGAGTGTAACCGACAGTTTTCCCTAAAGGTCAAGCCATTTACCTATAAGCATGCCAAAACTGAGCCACATGTAAAGAGAGTAAGTGCCATAAAATCCGTTTTGAAATGACCCTCTGTTTTCCCCATAAAATACAAAGATTATATAGGGAAATACGACTGGTCAGTTTTGACCCATTTCCCGATTTTTCCCGGACATGGCGAGTTTTTTGTGACACCCCAAGGCGTTCTCCTACCACCTCACAAAATATCAAGGGGGGTCGTCGGAGGAAATTTTTTTTCGTAATAGAGCTCATATAAAGAGAATTTCACTCGCGGTCACTTTTTAGCCCTCGTCGAAGGCTTTGAGTAAGACCGACAGGTCTGCCCTACGGTCAAGCCATTTACCTATAAACATGCCAAAAATTAGCCAGATGTAAACAGGGTAAGTGCCTTAAAATCCGTTTTGAAATGACCCTCTGTTTTTCCCATAAAATACAAAGATTATATAGGGAAATACGACTGGTCAGTTTTGACCCATTTCCCGATTTTTCCCGGACATGGCGAGTTTTTTGTGACACCCCAAGGTGTTCTCCTACCACCTCACAAAATTTCAAGGGGGGTCGTCGGAGGAAATTTTTTTTCGTAATATAGCCCATATAAGGCGCCGGTCAGTCGAGGTCAGTTTTGACCCCTTCTCCGTAGACTTTTCGGCCAACCGTCACCGGCCTTCGTGTTCTATCGCCTGAAGGCACCATCGTGCCAAATTTGACGCGCCTGCGGCGCCGGGAAGTGCCCTATCGGGCACTTGACCACTTTGCTTTATATATATAGATATAGAATGAACACCTGGATTTAAAGAAATGTTTTATTTTCTTTTGTAGGTCCTGTTTAGAGTAGGCACTGGTCAGACAGGTATGATTTCTGTTTAATACTAATTATTAAAATAATAATTTACTGAAATTTTAAAGAATAATTAATTATTAGTGTTTTCATAAGTATATGTAATATAAAATAAGCAATTATTTTAATTTTCTATTTAACCAGCATATGATGTTGCTAAAGAGAATGGCCAGCGTCTGATTATGGTAAGCATTTTTACAAGGTTTCATATCAAAATTATTTGATTCTAATGTTTGATATGTCTTATTCTCATTTTAGTTCTTGAGAACAATTTAAAAACAACTGTAACAATATTGCTCACTTTTTCCCAGGAACTATTGTACCAGAATAGTGGTGATCGTAAGTTGCTCCTTTGTTTTTCTTCAATATCATAAAATGATACTTAAGTGCTCTTTAAAATATTTATATTGATAGTTCATACATAGTAAACTCTTTGGTACAAGTGCATGATAAAAGTGTTCAAGTACGCTGGTTCATTTTGGCATTAAAATTAATACATTTAATACTATCTGAAATAAGATTTTAAAAATTAATATTTTATGTGAAAAAATGTCTGTTTTACTTGGTGGATGTTAGGAAGTTTGCTTAATTAAATACTTCACTTTTCTTAAAATTTCATTTGATTATTTTTTTTACACAAATCAAATATTACAAATAGCCTACATCTTGACAAAAAATTAAGGCAATTTTATTTAACTTTAAAAAAAAATGTATCTCTCTTGTTAATTCCAGCTCAGTCGCAAGTAGAGAACACCAGAGATGAGGTAAAAGAAAAATTATCTCTTCATTAGTCAATGTGAATAGTGTTTTTTTAATAAAGTGTTTCAATTTTTTTCTCTTGCGATTTTTTTTCGATATCTATGCTAAGGCCTTATTGTGTTTATAAAGTTCCTTTTTAGACCTAGTGGTTGATTGGGCAGATGAAGTAGAGTTCATTGACTTCATTACCTTGGCATACAAAGGGATAGTGTGGTTAGCACTTTGCCCAGCCACCTTTACTTTCCCCAAAGACCACAACATCCCATATTGTGTTTATACTATTCTTTTACTGTGTTTGTTTATGATCAAAAATGTGATTAGTAGTTGTTTGATGTTTTTTTAAAGTATTGATGCAGCTGTTTCAGTTGATTAACTTTCCTCAATCACATTTTTTTTCTGTGGCACAGAATCGACTACGTGAAGATATTAGAATGCAAGGATATCTGAACAAGCCTGGTCCTAATGGCAGAAGTAAATACATTTTCATATCTTAAACAGAAGTTTTATAAAACAACATAGCAGTAAAGTTATGATTTGACTCCTTGTTGGTTAGGATTAGGATTGGGCTAACCATGATTAAAAGTTGGCTGGGTGTGAATAAAGTTTGACCCACATTGAGGCTAAATGAAAAAAACATTCATTGCCACTAAGGTTTTGGTAATGAAAAGATATGCAAACAACTTTTAGAAACAATGAAATTTTTTTTTTTCAATTCATGTCTTCTTTAGATTAGAAAGGACAATAGAAAAATATTATTCTTGGAAAAAAAATCATTTTATAATGTGTACATAAATTGATTTCCATAAGTTTAATTAAACCCTCTTTTGTGTCTAATCTCTAACCAATACCTGAGACCAAAGCATTAATTTGTTTTGGTACTCATAACACATTATTTATATAACACTTCTGTAATTTTACATTAGCTATAAATGTCCATACTTTTTCTTATGATTTTAGAGCTTTAAATAAATACATCTGTTGCCTTTAGAGATTTTGGCTACAATTTGATTTGTTGTTTCAGCTTTTGAGAAGAGATGGTGTTTACTGGAGCATGGCTGTCTGACGTACTACCTAAATGAGAAAGTAAGTGCTTCACAATTCTTCAGTCTGTATCTTTTGAAGGCATAATTCAACCAATAAAATGCCCAGCTGCCATTTCTTAAATCAGATCTAGGCCCTGCATTAAAACAGAATGTTCTTGTAAAATCCAATAATATTTGAACTGGGAATTCACCAGATTTTTTTAAAGTGTAGCTATATTTATCAACCTGGTGGTAAATAAGGCAGATGAGTTCACGTTTCTAGACCTTCTGGTTAAAAATGTCATGCTAATTATGTAATATACTAAATTATATACTTTAAAAGATAGACCTTAATTTCATTGGTAACTTGTTTACAGATTGAAAAGCTATCAAGAATGTTAATATAAGTTTTCTCTGACAATTTTTTTCTGTTCGACCAGAGTACAACATTCAAAGGTTCAATAGATAGAAAAGACATGTACATGATCCAGGCTATAGAGTCTGACAGGTAAGTTAACTTTTAAGTGTAGAGAACTCTGGTTTGAAAGAAGACCCAAGGATCATGTTAAATTTGTGCTGAAAAGTGAAAGACTGGAAACACTAGTAATCTTAGATACAGGAGACATCAAACATCTGACTATACTAATGATTAGTTTTGTTTTAGTTTAATAGTCTGGGCCTGAGTTAATGGGTAGCTTTGAGGATATGTGGTTGAAGGATGTTATGTATTGGTGTGCAGTTAGCATAATGTAAACATTAGTACTGTTATGTTAATGATGTGACACTAAGGTTTTAAGAAGCTAATTGAAATATTCAACCCAACAATAGCTGTTCTAAAATTAAATAAACATAAAGGGGGTTAACCATTGGAGTACTACATTGTTGTAATTGTTAAGATAAAACGTTTGAAATAAGGCTTTAACATTAAGTAAAAGTAATCAGCCTGATGACTATCTTATGTAAAAAGTAATTTTAAATATAGCTTTTATGTTAAATATATGGGACGAAGTGGTCTAGCGGTAGAGAGCTGGACTGCTAACCCGTAAGTCTAGAGTTCGAATCCGGGTTCAAGGCAGTAGACTGTCCCTGAGTCACCCAACTCTGATGGGTACCTAACTCACGTTAGGGAAAGTAAAGGCGGCTGGGCATAGTGTTAACCACACTATCTTTTCATATGCCGAGGTCACGGAAACAAGTGAACTCTACTTCACTTGCCCCATAGACCGTCAGGTTTGAAAGGGAAACTTTTCTTATGTTAAATATCTTGTTAAAATATATTTCTGTTTTTGGTGACAGGATTGGATATCATTTTGAGCTGGGTACTTGTATGAAAGAAAACAGAACTTTTATATTTTCATCTGACTGTAAAGAAGATGCTGGTGATTGGATTCGTACTATTGCTAAGGTGAGAAGTATAACAGGTTACACTGGGCTAAGGTGAGAAGTATGACAAGATACAATGGGCTGATGTAAAATCAAGTTGGCCTATGTGTTTCTTTTGTTCTTGTTGCTGTGTGGAGTAGTGGGCAGTCAGTGTGATGATAGCCCTAAGGCAGCATTTTGATTCGTACTATTGCTAAGGTGAGACGTATGACAAGTTACACTGGGCTGATGTAAAAAATCAATTAGGCCTATATGTCAAAGGCGTAGCGAGGGGTGGGGGGGGGGGGGGGGGACGACATATGTCCCCGAGCGCCGACCTTAGGGGGAGCCAAAATGGGTTGGAAAAACAAATTGAAAGTTTGAGGGGGGTGCAAATCAAAAGTTTGAGGGGGGGGGGGGGTTGCAAATCAAAAGTCTGAGGGGGGGGGGGGTGCAAATTGAAAGTTTGTCCCTGGGCGCCGGGAAGGGTCGCTATGCCTCTGCTAAATGTTCCTTTGTTATTGTTGCTGTGTGGAGTAGTGGGCAGTCAATTTAATGATAGCTCTAAGGCAGAAACAAATGATAATTCTCACTCAAATATCAAACTGCTGTGTAAAAACTGTTATCTTTCATTCCAACAGGGAAGTTAAACAAAGACACAAATAACTGAGGTTTAATCATCAGGCTAAAAAAAAAATTTTTAAATAAGTGATAAAGAAAACTTAGATTGGATGATTAGAGCTTGATAGGCATTTTATTAGAGTTAAGATTTTATATGATAGGTTTTTATGTTTGTGGTTTTTTTATTTTTTTTTTGGTTATCTGATTTTACTAATAATTTTTAAAATTCTAGCTGATGGCCCCAGTAGCTGTGATGGAAAATGTAGGAATGATTGACATCAAGTTTGCAGGAATAGCTTATCTCAGAGAGTCATTGAGTGAAGTTTGTACACATTTCTTTTCTTTATTAACCCCCCCCCCCCCCCCTCCCATGTCCTAATGTCATTTTTGCACTTTTAATATATCTCACTGGTTAAAAAGCCATGCTGAACTAATGATAGACTTCCAATTCTTTGGTTTAGTTAAAAATTGTCTTTACATAGTGTTTTCTCACTCTCCATAATTCAAAGCCTACTATATTTCTCCTACCTTTTTATAAAGATCTACACTTCTTAAAACTGCCAATTATGGACTTAAAACTGCAAAAAAAATTTTTTCATAATTTTATAGCTCATTCTTAATATCATTAGTAATAAAAAAAAAGCATAATCACAAATTGTTATTCTGTCCCATCAGGAATGGCGACAAACGTTCCTTATATACAGCTGGCGTGGACTTTACTACATGAACAAGGACTTAAAACTTGACTACCTGGATCTACGCAAAGCCAGTGGGATCAGTAAGTTATTTTTTATGTTTGCTGCTTGTTTTTTTTAAATTCAGTTGATACTTGTTTATTGTGTCAGCTAATTGACCGGTCATGGGTCAACTCCCTCCTGGAATTATTGAGTAGTTTAAATTAAGGGCCATCCATAAGTGACATGCTTTTTCTTTGTGATTGCCCCTGTCATCACAAAAAGTCAGACCTGAACCTTCCAAACCCCATTAAAATTAAAAAATATCTTTCTAAAATATTATGTGGGCATACTAGTAAATTTTTGTTATAAATTTTCAAAAAAAGCCTTTTAAATTGTAAAATATCTGCAAAAATTCCATTTTTTAAAATTACAAAGTGTGTTAAAACAATTTTAGATTGTGATTACCAATATTTCCCATATAATGCATAGTAAATCATTTTATTCACCAGAAATGCTTAGCTCTAATGAAGGATTCCAAAAACAAGGCCCATTCTTTATCATCAGTTCTACAGGAAGGTAACTGTTATTTCTTAATGTGAAAAATGTTTTATTAATGAACTTGTGGTTTATCTATGTAAAACATACCTTAGTGTTACCAGGCAAGGGGGATAAAAGATGTAATCAGGAAGTTGCAGGGGAGAAAATTATCAGCACAATAATTCTGTTTGTTAACATTGTCTTGTATATTGCCAGGTCTGTTTACGTACAAGCCTTGCTGCCCAGAGATACTGATAAAATGTTTACAGCCCTAGTCATGGCATACACAGTATGTTTTTGTTTTGTATTTTGTGATTTAAGAAAAAATTTATACATAATTTTTATTATTAACATAGATATAATCTTTCTTAATTTTTTAGGAAATTATTTTTGTTCAGAAAAATTTATCCTTAGAAAATTTAGAATAATTTGCCATAATCAACTTTATTCTGTTTCAAAAAAGTAATTGTAAAGCTTTTTTATCTATCTATTTTTCTAATAATTTTTTTCTAAAACCCACATTAAAACATTTTTTAAACTTAATATTTCCATTGCTAATATCTTTTGTTTGTTATTCTGTTTTATTAAAAAAAATTCCTTTGCAAGAAAAAACCTATTCTACATTACGTTTATCTATGCCAATCTACAGCGAAGTGGACCATATTTGAATGATCAAGCTTTGACCACTGACAATGTCCCTGTCATTGTTGACAGATGCATCACACACATAAGCAAGTTTGGTCTTAAAGAAAAAGGTATCTACAGACAAGCTGGTCAGCAGAGCAGAGTGCAAGCTCTGCTGGATGAGTTTAAAAAAGGTAATTTTGCTTAAAGTGTCATTTATCCTCGGTATGAAAATAGAAGCAAATGGACATTCAATTTTTCAAGAAATTTGTTAAAACGTTGAAATCACATGTTTTCCCATTCATGCCCAAGAAACATGGGGCAGATAAAGTAGAGTTCATCTGTTTCAGAGACCTGGACATATGTTGGGATAGTGTGGTCAGCACTATGCCCTTTGTTTTCCCTTTGTTTTCAGAGCTGAGTGGATTCCTGGATATTCTGGCTTGAACTTGGATTCATACGGATTCATACTTTCGAGTTAGAAGTCTAGCTCTCTACTTCTAGGCTAAGCCGTCCCATTAAAAAAACCATTGAAATGTTCAGCTATCATTTCCTATATTAAAAACTATTTTAAGTTTGACAATCTTTAACTAACTTTCTGCTGTGGATGGTGACAGGACACTGTTAATATTTTGTATTATAAATTATGGATTATTTATAAAATCTCTGATGCATGTCCTATTGTTAATGTGATTGTTTAATCATAGATGCCTATGCTGTCAGCTTAAATGACTACACTGTGGATGAAGTGGCAAATGCTGTGAAAAAGTTTCTGAGAGAACTGGATGACTCTGTTTTTGAGAGAAGACATTATGGTGCTTGGATAGAAATAGCAGGTCTTTTTTTTAAATTGTTTTTTGTTTTGGGGAAATTAATATTTAAATGGTGCTTGGATAGAAATAGCAGGTCTTTTTTTAATTTGGTTTTGTGTTATGGGGAATAAAATGGTGCTTCGATCAAAACAGTAGGTTTTTTTTTTACTTTTTTTTTTTGTTATGGTGAAATTAAATGGAGCTTGGATAGAAATAGCAGGTCTTTTTTCTTCAAATTTGGTTTTGTATTATGGGTAAATTAAAGTAACACCTTGGTGAAAATTTGACATTGCAAATAAGTTCATAGATAACATGATGAGTACATTACTAGATAATTATGAGTATATTAAAAGATAATTATGAGTATATTACGAGATATAACCAAACTTGAGATACCTACTATGTCTTCACTAGGATACCAAGATGAAAGTATTAGAATAACCAAGTGCCAGCAGTTGCTGGATAAGATGCCAGAAGTTAACAGACAGACTTTGAAAAGAATCATCCAGCATTTGAAACAGTAAGGCAACATAAGTTAATCTAGAAAAATTTTTATAGTAATTATACATTGGACTCAGTGTAAGGTTGCTCTTGGGAGAATGTGTTGCTTGTAAAGGGAAGTCAGTAACAAATGCAATTTTTTTTTCCCCTCCCTTTTTTTTCTTCTTTCTGTTTAATGGTAATATTGAAAGGGATTTCTTCCAACACAATTAAGTATTATGTGTCAACATTTTATGCAGGTCGTTGACTTAAGCCTGCTTTTCTTTCTGGATTTTCCATAGCTTTTGTCAATCAAAAACAAACTGCAAGGCAGCAGTTGGTTGATTTTGGACTTTTTTCTCCTAGATGGGTTGCTGCCCGCAGCTATTGAGGACCCCACCCTTTGATAGACTATATTATTCATAGACTTGTTGATTATTCATAGACTTGTTGATTATTCATAGACTTGTTGATTATTCATAGACTTGTTAATTATCCATAAAAATATTTTAACTAATTCCACGCAATGAAGGACTGGAGTTGCCATCCTAGTGATAAACCAATGCTCAGTGTCTAGGACATGCTTGAATTTGCCCAGTTGTTTAGGCTAGAAATTTAGAGACTATAGACTAGTGACAACACATATCATCAGCTACAAAGTAGGTAACAGCATAAAAGTCAATCATCTAAAAACAACTTGCATTTGTTTGTACAGAGTTGCTCAAAATCAGGAAGAAAATTCTATGGACCTTAAAAATTTGGCAACATGTTTTGCACCATCTCTTCTGAGAACTCATTTGGATCAGGTACAGTAAAACTCATGTTTACAAGTATCTTTTTTTAGTTTTAAAGTATCAAGAACATTATGAATGATTTTCTTTTTTGCAACATAAGTATAACAATATAAACAAACAATTTTATTTAGTGATATCGAAATATCCGTATTTAAATCAGTTTTTTTAAATTTAGATGGGTGGGGTAGGTCTGTATTGGTTCAGATCTTAAAATATTCTTGCAACACTTCTATTTTTAGCTTCAAATGTCTGATTCATCCAGCCGCGAAATCAAAATAGTTTTAGACATCATGCAGCATTCTGATGATCTTTTCCAGGTAATCATTTTAAAATTATACTATGGATTTTCTGTATTTCATAATTTATTGTATATTTTCTCCATTAGATTTTATATGAAAAAATTAAGAAAAGTACAAGATAAAATTTGCTCTTAACATATTTTTTTAAATTTGTCAGTGTTTTTCAGTAATCTGAATTACTTATTATAATACACAATTTATACATAAACCTCACTGCAGCTATTATTTTAGCTCCTGTTGTTTTGTGATAAATGCTGTAAGCTAATGCAAGTGGTGATTGGCATTTTGTTGTGTCTTGTAATAGTAATGGTTTAGATTTTTACAACTACAAACCTTTGCTTGCAGGTAGGCGAAAATGAGAAAGGAGTAGAAGATAAAATGTCAGAAGTGCTTGACAAAATTAGAATGGTAAGTAAAATGGGAACAAAACATTACACCTCCATCCCCCCCACCACCCCCTCCACCCAAAATCTTCAGTAGGACATTAACAGCCACCTGTCAATTAGTACAGAACTCCCTAACTTTGTTTTATATATCCCCACAGGCAAACCTTAAATCTGCTGAGGCAACATCAGCAATCATAACAGATGTTTATTTGATGGACTACAATTCCTCAGCTTGTGAAAATTTCACCATAACAGATGACAAAACTGTAGCAGTTGCCATCAAGGAAGCAGTGGATAAATTTCGTAGAATAGACAGGAATTTGGATGTCAAGAATTGTTTTCTTTATGAAGTTTTATTTAACTCTCACTTAGGTTAGTGATCTTTGCTTTTATTATTTGTTTTTTTTTTTTTACATCTGTTGCTCAGAAATTAGTACAGCTACAAATTAAATACTGTTTGCCATTCTTTAACTTCTATAGAGCCCACAATCTAAGAATCTTAAGTGTATTGATATAGTTAAGACTTTGCAATGTGTTGTCTTTGTATATAGTTGACAGAGATTAATTTTTGTCCATTTGCAGAGAGGCCCCTTTTCACTGATGAGCTTATAAAAAAAACTATTGAAAGGTGGTCTAATTGGTGCACTTGGAATGATAAAGATATCAAGATGCATCTGTGTGTTCACAAGATTGAGAGATTCCAACATTTAAAGGATGTGAGTATTTTATTCTTAGATTTTGATGTAATTGTTCATAGATTTAAGAAAATGTAAGTTATTAAGGTGTATGGATTTTTTTTTAAATTTTAATTTACATTCTTGTATTTGATTATTTTTAATTAACTAATTATAAACCTAATCTTGTCTTCTAGTCAACATCACCTGCTTTTCTTGCTAATGCCAAGATACAGTATAAAGGTATAAAAGGAAAGTTCAATAAAAGGGCAGTTGGGTTGAAGCAGATGAAATTGGTTATCTACCAGAAGCCTGAGGTTAGACACTCTCATACACTTGTCATTATATATATATTTACAAAACTTTGTAGCTTCTACAAACTTATCTTTATGGGTGACTGAGCAGCAGATCTAATGAACCTTGAGGGTTTTAATATTAGAATCTAAAGATAAGTTGGCTTTGCCTTGTTCAGTGGTTCTTAACCTGGGTTTGATCGAACCCCAAGGATTGGTGAGTCATTTCCAGGGGGGTCGGCAGAGGTCAAGATACTCACCTGACTCAAATGATTCATGATCAGATTTTGTCAGTGCAGATGATAGTACTATTAAAAGGGGTTCAGCGAATGCGCATATGAAACTGGTGGGGTTCAGTACCTCTGAAAAAAAGTCTAGTTTGTAGGATGTTTCTGTGTTGTAAGTCAGAGTTTGTGCAGTGGATAGGCATTACATTGTTTACTGAAGCAGATGTTAACCGCCCCATTGAACTTACAGTTTTGGAAAGATTTTAACCACTTGGCTAGTTTGTACTTCATGATGAGTATTATTTTTTTTTTATCTTGTAGAGTACAGCTGAATGCTACTCTTGGAATTTGGAAGACATAACTGTTTACATAGGAACTATGTTGCCCAAAAAGAGTTTGCCTTCAAAGTAAGATTGTTTTTTTTTTTTTTTTTTTTTAAAGTTTTATCGGTTTATCTGTGTTTATTTAAAAATAATTTTTTTATCTAAATAAACATTTTTGTTTGTTCTAGTTGTACACATTTCCTGACTTTTGTTGTAAACGGAGAAGATCTTTCAAATACAAGTAGCAGGTATGGATTTCTTTTCATGTACCCTTCAATTTTGTCCAAAATAAACCTTTATATTATGTATAGACTTTTTAATGCCTAGGTTAGTCTATTTAATTTTCTCATCATTCAGTTTGGTCCTCTTATTTTTCGTCTCACTAAATGCTTTAAGAAATAATACTCCAAAGTACTAGATGTGAATGATAGGATGACTTTGAATTCTGATTAAAAACTTTTTTTTTTTATTTTAAAGAATATTTCTATTTATTGCAACGTTTTCAGAGCATTTGGTCACTGTTTAGGATTTGACAATGAAACTGAAATGCTCAGGTGGGCAGCCTCCATCTACAAAACACAGGTAATTTTCTTATCATTTATTTGAGGTATTGTATTAATTTTTACTTCTCTTATGTTAATTTCTACTTAACTTACATAATCTTTTTTTGGTTCTATTTACAGCACCCAAATAGTTTCTAATTGGGTCCCACACATTAACATCAAGCAGTATTTTCTACCCAACACTCTTGGCTTGCAAAAGAAAAGTGAATTTCAAGCTTACACTTTTTAAAATGTAGCATTCAAAAGTAGTTCTGAAAATCTGTGATGCTAGTCCACAAAATTGGTTGTTAATTTCATGCATAATTAATAAGCAATCAGCTTATATGTAATTAATTTATCAGTTGTTGTAAATATTATTGAAAGTTGATGTTCACAATGTACATAGCAAATATATTTTTAATATATTATTCAATAGTCTATTTATAGAAGAAAATGTGAATTATTTCTCTCATTTCATTGCAATAATTACACTTACAAAAACTTACGAAGTTTTTTAACTTGATATATACTTTTTCAGAGGAAATTTAAAAATCAACATTTTAAAAATTTCATATGCTGTAACTTACTTAATGCACTTTGGAGTACATGAGTGAAAATGACATTCCTGTCTTCCTATTTTCAAAAATCCTTCTGTATTTTTTCCCCTTCTATTACATTCCAACATTTTACAAGTTTTTCTATACCATTTTTTTACTCTATTCCGTCGATCACCACTAGTGTCCTTAACTGTGTTTGAAGTGAAAACACTGCTGAACTGTACATTCATTTGTTCTTATTTTATAAGTATGTTTTTTTTTCACAAATCATTAAAACAATCGATTTCCATAACTTAATTGACACCATTAAAATATAAGTAAATTTATTTGCAAAAGGAGTATCTTTCATGTTTTATTTGCTAAATTTTATTTATTCCTAAGTGCTAAGTTAAAGTACTTATAATAGAAATTTATTGATCTAAAAAATTCTCATTAAAATTATAAAATTATAATATCCTCTATGAATTTGTACAGGGGCTTTATTAATGTAAAGGGATAATCAAAGCAATAAATTATGTTACATTTTTTAATGAAATTTTTTTATTAAAGCATAATTTGTTTATTAACTTCAAATCAGCTTTCCATAATAAGACTTGACATAATTATGTTGAAAAATCTGGCACTCAACTAAATGATTTAGAAAAATGATTTTTCTCTCACTGTAGAAGTCTGGCAGCTTTTTAAGATAATTTTTTTTTCTATGTTTCACGAGTTCATGTCATACAAGTACCATTGCTCCTGTCAGTGATTTGTTTTGTTTTTAATGCCTCCCTAACAGTAACACACCATGTCTAATCAATGTATTATAATGTGTGTGACTTGGGTAAAATGCAGCGGTTTTAATTCAAACTAGCTGTATAAAAATGGATGTAAAATATTTGTACATATAGTATTATGTTTAGATACATTGATACATTTTTTTAAACATAAATAACATGAATAACGAACAAATTGTATTCTTCTTCACACTGGTTCTACAGTTTTTATTTCACTTTTTTAATTCCTGCGACAATATACCACTAGATGTTGTAATTTTAAAAAAAATAACAAAGAACAAGTTTTTTATTTAAACCCTAATATTTTATTCTGTTAATAAATCATGTTTGTGTTCATGTATAATGAAATAGCATTATATAGATTATGATTTCTATAACCAATAATCAATTGTTGGAGGTTATGTTTGCTTATGTATTACTAGATGCTAGAAAATTAGTCTTTTATACAGTAGATCATAATTTTGAGGATCAAAGATGACATATTAGTCACCTTGATTTTCATTTTTTTTATGAATAAGTTTTACTGTGTTTTTACTGAAGTAAATATGCTGATTTGCAATATGTAGAGTGACATTTCGTGCTCAATGAACAAACATTTTAATGTGGTTGCCAGTCTGCTTGGGGTAAAAGAGGGTTTCAGTTTTCATTTTTACTCAGAAACAATATTATGTACAGAATAATTATAATACATGGAGATATTTTTAAATAATGGTAACTTGCATGAATTGTGGAGGGAAATCAGCCTTAAGGAGACTTGAATGGGTGGGGGGGGGGGGGAGGTAATATGTAATTGGTTAGTTTCTTACTTATTTAACTAATATGATCACTTGGGAATAGCTTACAAATACACATGTTCAAAGCTGTCATAAATTTAAATATTTACAATTTCATCTAGATCATCTTCATTTTAGTCTTGTGCTAAAACTTGAAGACAATTAAACTTGTATGTTGGCAACAAACTTTGGAGTTCATTTTACTTTTTTTTTTTTTTTTTTTTTTTTGTGTACATCTTTTTCACCTGATCCAAGCAAAATTAGAGAAAACGCTGAGGTTCCAGAAGATCCAATGGATTTTATAAAGAGATGGTAAATCAACAGGTCAGGCTCTCATCCCAACCACAACAAAGATGATAGGTATTTCTGAAGAACCAGACCAGGGGCCAACAAGTAATCTTCAGATTTCAAACAGGTCCCAATAGGATGACACACATCTCAATATGACAGGAATCTTCAGACTTCAAACAGGTCCCAATAGGATGACACACATCTCAATATGACAGGAATCTTCAGACTTCAAACAGGTCCCAATAGGATGACACACATCTCAATATGACAGGAATCTTCAGACTTCAAACAGGTCCCAATAGGATGACACACATCTCAATATGACAGGAATCTTCAGACTTCAAACAGGTCCCAATAGGATGACACACATCTCAATATGACAGGAATCTTCAGACTTCAAACAGGTCCCAATAGGATGACACACATCTCAATATGACAGGAATCTTCAGACTTCAAACAGGTCCCAATAGGATGACACACATCTCAATATGACAGGAATCTTCAGACTTCAAACAGGTCCCAATAGGATGACACATATCTCAATATGACAGAAATCTTCAGACTTCAAACAGGTCCCAATAGGATGACACACATCTCAATATGACAGGAATCTTCAGACTTCAAACAGGTCCCAATAGGATGACACACATCTCAATATGACAGGAATCTTCAGACTTCAAACAGGACCCAATAGGATGACACACATCTCAATATGACAGGAATCTTCAGACTTCAAACAGGTCCCAATAGGATGACACACATCTCAATATTACAGGAATCTTCAGACTTCAAACAGGTCCCAATAGGATGACACACATCTCAATATGACAGGAATCTTCAGACTTCAAACAGGTCCCAATAGGATGACACACATCTCAATATGACAGGAATCTTCAGACTTCAAACAGGTCCCAATAGGATGACACACATCTCAATATGACAGGAATCTTCAGACTTCAAACAGGTCCCAATAGGATGACACACATCTCAATATGACAGGAATCTTCAGACTTCAAACAGGTCCCAATAGGATGACACACATCTCAATATGACAGGAATCTTCAGACTTCAAACAGGTCCCAATAGGATGACACACATCTCAATATGACAGAAATCTTCAGACTTCAAACAGGTCCCAATAGGATGACACACATCTCAATATGACAGGAATCTTCAGACTTCAAACAGGTCCCAATAGGATGACACATATCTCAATATGGCAGTAATCTTCAGACTAATCTTTCAGTTAACTTTTCACGCAGGTCAAGACTCTATGACTATGAACTTTGACATAAAATGGGATATAATTAGATGTCTAATTCTAATTAACTTTTAAAAAATTAATCTTCATTTATAAAGTACTAAATGTCCGTTCTATTTTGCATATATTGTCATTGTTTGCGTTCGCTTGCATTATTGTGATGTATAGCATTTATTTTCTACTTTTTAGTTCAATCAGAAAACGTGGGTTTTTTAAAAACTTTTTTAATGATTATTATTCAACTCTATGCTAAATGTGTCGACGTCATACTTCGTTTTTCGAATTACTATGCAGGTTTTTATTTTGCTTGTGTTTTCTCTAGAGCGTTCTTGTCAGATAGAATTTTTGCTTATGTTTTCTCTAGAGCGTTCTTGTCAGACAGATAGATAGATAGATAGATAGATACACAGACAGCGAAACTATTATTATAGACGAGAAAAATGGCCCGTTGAGGAAGGATACACCGGGCGCTAGGCTGATAGTGCTGTCTCTTTTCTCTAAACTAAAACCACCCCATCCTCCCCCCCACACCACCCCCCCCCCACCTCCACCCCCACCCCTCTCCGGGGAGGAAAAAGTCTGAAAGAAACACTGGTGTCGCGCTTAGCCACCACCCGAAAAATTGCATAAAGAAATTGCAAGAAAACCACTTTTTAGATTAGACACATTAATTAGGCGGTAATTTTATTATAGAGTATCTATGAAGAAATTTCTTTTGAGTTAGGGAGGGGGGGGGGCTCAGACGTTCTTACGCGGGGGGTGGGGCTTCGCCCCTACCCGAAGAATTGTATGCAAGAAACTCTTCACGCAAACCATTTAGATTAGACAAAATTTATTTTTATTCAATGTTTACTCGAGAAACAATGACGTCATATTACTGTGTGCACTTTCCGGATTGAGATTATTTTCTACTCTGTGCTAAATGTGTCGACGTCATACTTCGTTTTTCGAATTACTATGCATGTTTTTAATTTCCTTGTGTTTTCTCTAGAGCGTTCTTGTCAGATAGATAGATAGATAGACAGACAGCGAAACTATTATTATTAATAGGTGGGGGGGGGGGGGGGGGCAAAAAAAATTTTGCGGGGTGGCCCTTATTTTCTAGTTCCGCCACTGTAACTTCTTCTCTTCTTCTTCGTTCTTAATTTTTAGTGTTGGGAGGGATAGTGCCTTATTTGCCAGAGGGTTGAACTCGAGATTTTTTTCTAATTTATCAACCATCGGCTTTGCCGACTCGACCATGCTTCCATCACAATTAAAGATTACGTGTCAACTGGTTATGCGCCATTGAGGCCATTGACTCCGATTTCAGCCTGCTTTTCTTTTTGGATTTGCTTCCATAGCCTTTGTCCAACCAAGAACAAACTACAAGGCAGCAGTTGTTTGATTTTGTAACGATTTTTTTTTTGTTTTTGAAAAAATAAAAGGTTATAAATGTTATAGATTAAAGCCTAAAAATGTTATTTATGAATCGTTTAGGGGAGCGTGAAAAATGTGAATAGACAATTATAATTGTTTAATTTACGACTAAGTCTACGTCTACTAACATTAAGTATTGCAATCTACAACGGCTACTGATTTATTTGTTTTTCAACTTAATAATGCTATAAAAAACCTACCTAACTATTTTGTTTAGAACTAGAGCTCTATATAATTTTTATAATAGCTAATAATAACTTAAGAGTTGTATTTATATGTAAACGGTCAACCCAAGGTGCAGGAATTTAAAATAATGTATGTAAAGTTAAGCAACAAATTATCTCCTATTCAGTGTTTCTTCCAGACTTTTTTCTCCGGGGGGGGGGGGGGGGGGGGGCACTTGAAATTTTCGGGGGGGGGGGGGGGGGGCGGTAGACTTTCTTCGGGGGGGCGGACACTGTTAAAAGTATATATTTTCTATATAAATTATATAAATTTCATTTAGTTCAGGGGGGGGGGTAAAAAAAAATTCTGGGGGGCTTCGCCCCCCCCCCCCCCCCCCCCCGTAGAGATGCCTGGAAGAAACTCAGCTCCTATTTGAAAATCCAAATGCCTAACTTTTATTCAAGGGAAATAACTTTCACAAGAATAGCTAAATAACTAAGACATGCTTGAAAAACACAATAAAACGCTCTAAATGCCATTACGTAATAATTATAACAAATATTTTATATTAGCTATGTAAGCTTTTGAAAATAATATATTTTACTTATTGAATACTTAAATGTAGGTTTTGTTTGAAAGTCCAAAAATGGTATCTTTACTATAACATACTTCTATTCAATTTTGATGACATACTCTAATTTGTAAGCTTCCATTCTTTTGATTATTATAAAATTTTGGATCCCCTAAATCAAGGGACGCCTCTCAAAAAATTAACTACAGGTACTTGTTTTAGACATTGCTAGAATTATTCATTAAATATGAAAAAATAATAATTTGAAAAAAACAAAGTTTATGGTTAGTTATAAATTCCATCCTATTTAATATTATATATTAATACTTTAAGAGTGGTAATATAGATTCCTAAAAAACTAAAGGTTTTTTAACTAGAGAACGCATACCTTTCTTCAGAGGGGGTACATATGTCCCCTGGCGCCGACCTTAGGGGGCGCCAAAATGGGTTGGAAAAACAAATTGAAATTTTGAGGGGTGATGCAAATTGAAAATTTAAAGGTTGTTCCCGAAGGGGGTCGCCAAATTGAAAGTTTATCCCCGGGCGCCGGGAAGAGTCGCTACGCCTCTGCCTTTCTTTGCAATGTGTTCCGTACTGAATTGAAATCATCTTACGTACGATAAACTCGACTACTCGATATACTCTACTACATTCACAACACATCAAGCTTCGATACTTAAATATAACTAGATCGATGCTCCAGAACAACTCGTTTAACTTCACTAAGCTCTACAAACGGTACTCCCAATCAACAACTATTTCACTGGACCTACTACTACACTTTAACAGTCAATATAATTTGATACCACAAGAATCAATATTCCCGAACTCCAAAACTACGATACTTCATCACCTGCAATTTCATAAAAATTATGACACTTTAACACTTCGATACTTTATACCTACGAAACCATAGCAGCAACCAGTGTTTCTTCCAGACTTTTTTCTCCGGGGGGGGGGGGGCACTTGAAATCTTCGGGGGGGCGGTAAACTTTCTTCGGGGGGGGGGGGGGCGGACACTGTTAAAAGTATATATTTTCTATATAAATTATATAAATTTCATTTCGTTCGGGGGGGGGGGGGGCGGTAAAAAATTTTCGGGGGGGCTTTGCCCCCCCGAAGAGATGCCTGGAAGAAACTCTGGCAGCAACAGCTTTCCGCCGTTACTCCCATATCTAAACGATTCATCAAAACTTACCAAACAAGTACAATACTTTAAACACCCCGTCATTACAAAACTCTATACACCAGGACAGATTTCTAATTTAAAGTCAGAGAAAACGAGACTTACAAGCTCTATTAAAACTAGATAACCGTTTGAAATGTTCGAAATTTAAATTACGAACTTATTTAATCGTTGTCCACATCAACTGTGTGACACCAAATTAAAAAGGCAAAGTGACTGGTAAAAAGCGCCCCGACTTTCCAAATTAGGGAGGTGGGGTTGCATTTTCACTATCGCGAATAAATATAGGCCTATATATGAGACCTAATTTTGGGGTGTAGGTACAAAATTGATAGTTCGTCCTGGGTGCCTAAATAGATTTCTACTCCTTTATACAAGCTATTAATTATTAAGTACTTTTTTGATAATAGCGATTAAACCATTTGCGCCCCCTAGGGATGGCGCCCTGGGCGACCGCCTAGTTCGCCTTTTAGGTAGCGCCGGCCCTGCCTGCAAGAAACACTGGATTATTATTATTATTAAAATTATGAAAAAAGTAATAAAACATTTTCCATCCTCTAACAGTACTGTAACTGCCATCCCCTTTGCTGTTAGGCCTACAAGAATATACGAGGAAGTTTAGGGGAGGTCACTCCCGTTTTATTTTTTTTATTTAAAAGGCGAAATTACAAATAGATCTATATTGACCTTTTGAACTTTGACAATACTCTACTATTTTTCTATTCGTAGATCTAGTTCTTTCAAACTTGGGTGTGATTGTGCGAAAAGAAAACAACCAAGAACTTAAACTATAATCAATAATCTAATTACTATTAGATCTGGATCTAGTTAAGATCTGATTGAATAAATTACTTATAGATCCAGATATCTACTACGACAAATATGGCACCAAGGGCATTTTTACCCACAGACACCGTAGATAGTTTTAGATTTTTATTACAACAATTTGAAAGAGAAATCACCGATGTTTTCAGCGATATCAAGGAAGTGTTTGCTGTAATCGGCGTTTTCTATGCGGCTAAAAAAACAATAACAGTAGCAGGAACTATTTTAGATGCCGTTCGAGTTCATTTGTTACCCGAAAAAAGAATTGATTGGGTTGAAAAATTTGGTCCATGGGCTGGTTTGTAGTTTGTTATTTTTTAATTTTAAAATTGAAAGGGCCTCATTTTTTACCTGCTAAGGGCCGTAAGGGGTCATCCATAAATGACGTCACGCTTTTTTTGACGATTTTTATCTCCCCCCTCCCTCCCCTCTGTCACACGTCGGCACAAAAAGCCAGACCCCCCTAAAATGACGTCACACCTCAACCTACAACCCCCCTCAAAATTGCAATTGAATTTTTTTTAAACATTGATATTTTCCCAAAATCTTGTCTAAACTATTACAATTTATTAAAACAGTTATCTAAAACGCGAAATAACGTCTAAAATTCGTTTTCTAACATTGCTTTTTTTATAATGCAAAAATGTGACATCGCACCATCTTAACCCCCCTTCCCCTCATCACACATCATCACAAAATGACGGACCCCCCCTCCCCCTTTACGAGTGTGACGTCATTTATGGATGACCCCTAACATAAAATAACTTTCTAACTTTAAACTTAAATTTAAAATTTAACTGCTAGATCTAGATTCTAGATCTAGAATATCTAGTCTAGATCTAGAATAAATCTAGATAGGCCTATAGCCATAGCCTAACTCATGCATGAGAGAGATTATCTAATAAATAATTAATTAGGATATAGGCCTAACTATTATTTTCTACAACTTTCATTATGATTACTTACTAATTACTAATTAAATTAGGCCTACTAGATTCTAATTTTAATCTTTTATTAGTTTTATTGGCATTAGAGGCCATAAGGTCTATAATTTACTAATTTAGGCCTATTACTAGTATTACTATTTACTATTACTGCCAGTAGCGTAGAGAGGGGGGGTGGGGGGGACATATGTCCCCGGGCGCCGACCTTAGGGGCGCCAAAATGGGTTGGAAAAATAAATTGAAAGGTTGAGGGGGGTGGAAAACGAAAGTTTGAGGGGGGGTGCAAATTGAAATCTTGAGGGGGGGGTGCAAATTGAAAAGTTTGTCCCCGGGCGCCGGGAAGGGTCGCTACGCCTCTGATTACTGCCAATTTACATTATATATTAAAGTTTTATTACACTAGCCCAAGGCTTAGGCCTAATAAAAATCATACATTATTACATATATATATATATATATATATATATATATATATATATATATATATATATATATATATATATATAGGCCTATAGACCTAGGCTATAGGATAGGGCCTAACTAATTATATTATTAATAGGCCTACTATTGATTTTTTTATTTTTAACATAGTACTATTGTAGTCAGTGATTGATCTTCCTGTAATTATTTTGTTTTCAGTTGTGACAGGTAGCAGTGAAGGAATTGGACACGCTTATGCTTATGAACTTGCCAAAAGGGGACTTAACGTTGTACTAATTAGCCGTAGTGAGAGTAAACTACTGAAGGCAAAAGCTGATATTGGTAAATGTTATACTATAGATTAAACACTATTGTTTATAACATAAAGATTTGGGACAACATTCCCTACAACTGTGAAGTTTGAGCGCAATGAAATGTTACTTATTACTTATGTTCATTCCAGCACTTAGCAAAATCGTTAAAAGTTAGAGGGCTAATTTGGAAATGGTAGAGCTTACGACTGCAAATTCAAAAGTCACAAGTTTTGAATTCTGGGCTTGAATCTGTAGGACATCCCTGAGTCCACCTAGTTCTGATGGATACCTTACACACAAAGATAGCTGGGCATAGTGCTGACCACACTATCTGCCTGTATGCCGAAGTTATTGAAATACACTAACTCTACTTCATCTGACCCATGTGTCTTAGGCACAAACGAGAAAAGATCATTATTAATTGGATTTTTAAAGTGTTTTTTAATAGCTGAATTTTAAAACTTTAAACAACCTAATGATTTATTTATATTTATTGGTAAAATTTATTTTCAAATTACAGAACTGGACTGCAAAGTTAAAGTAGAGTACATAGTGGCAGATTTCTCTAGTGAAAATCAGACACAATTGTATAGCAATATTGCAGAAAAGTTGTCTGACAAACAAATAGGTTTACTAGGTGAGTAGTTGTCTATTTTATGAAACAAGTTTTTTTTCTAACATTTTCATTGTATACAAATTACTGCCCTTTCATATTTGCTACTGTTGTCTTTGAACACAAAAATAATTTTAAAAACCCAACTAGAAAGGCTAATAAATAGAACAGACTTGCACATACTAACAGTTTGAATGGAGTATATTTTGTGTTATTACCATTTTTCTTTTAGTTCTTTTAGTCTGTATTATTGACATTTACAGAAGGCATAATTTTTTTAAAAAAGCTTTGTTAAAATCAGCTGTGAATATTCAGTGTTTTTACACCAAAGCTTAGTTTATGTGCTAAATAAGAACACCTTAACATGTGAACTAAATGAGATAAAATGTTATCTTCTAGTAAATAATGTTGGCGTTATGTATGACTATCCTGATGTCTTGTTGAACATCTCACAACAAAAGCTGTGGCAGCTCATTTATGTCAACATAGGAGCTGCAACTATGGTATGGTTATTCACTGTTCTAATTATATATTTACTGTTAAAATAATGATATATTCACTGTTAAAATAATATATTCACTGTTAAAATAATTATATATTCACTGTTAAAATAATGGTTTGTTATTTTTTAATAATTTACAATGAAAGGGCACGTAACTTTACTCATTTACTGCTATCTCATGAGAGTTGATATAATAATTATTTTCTACAACTTTCATTATGATTACTTACTAATTACTAGATTCTAATTTTAATCTATTCTCAGTTTTATTGGCATTAAAATAAGTATATATTCACTGTTAAAATAATGATATACTCACTGTTAAAATAATAATATAATCATGTCATGTCATGTTTGCCTGTCGTCCCTACTGGGACATAGGCCGCTGACAAGAGCTTTCCAGACGTCTCTGTCCAGGGCTAGTCTCTCCAACTGTCCCCAGGTGTATCCAATCTTCTTGGTGTCTTCTTCCAGGTCACGTCTCCAGGTCTTTCTTGGTCTGCCTCTCTTCCTCCTGCCTTGTGGATTCCAGGTGAGGGCCTGTCTTGTTATGCTGGATACAGGCTTCCTGAGTGTGTGGCCAATCCATTTCCATTTTCTCTGGAGGATCTCTACTTCCACTGGCAGTTGATTTGTCCGTTGCCATAGAACATCATTTCTGATGGTTTTAGGCCAGCGAATTCGCAGGATCTTTCTGAGACATGCGTTTATAAATGATTGTATTTTCTTCTTATTTATAGCAGTTATTCTCCATGTCTCAGCTCCATAGAGTAAAACAGGTTTTACTAGTGTGTTGAAGATCCGGATTTTTATTCTAAGGGTTAAATCTCCCGAACCCCAAACATTTTTTAGTTGGTTGAAGACTGCTCTTGCCTTACCCGTCCTTATTTTTATGTCTGCTTCTGTCCCACCCTGCTTATCAACAATACTTCCAAGGTAGGTGAATCGATCCACTTCTTCTAGGGCTTCTTCTGCCAGTGTTATAGGGTTGTTGTTTGATGTATTGACTTTGAGAACTTTACTTTTCCCTCTGTGGATGTTCAGACCCAGGCTTGTAGAAAAATTTGCAACCCTGTTGGTTTTATCCTGCATTTGCTGTTGTGTGTGAGAAAGGAGGGCCAGGTCGTCAGCAAAGTCCAGGTCATCCAGCTGGCTCCACAATGTCCACTGTTATATAATCACTGTTAAAATAATAATATATTTACTGTTAAAATAATCATATATTTACTGTTAAAATAATTATATATTCTTATTTACTGTTAAAATAATTATACATTCTTATTCACTGTTAAAATAATTATATATTCCCTGTTAAAAAATAAATTATCAACTAGATACTTTTTATAACCTATTAGCTCAAAACACTCCCCTTCTTATTATTACTGTATAACTATGCATTTTCTCAGTTTTGAATGAGATTCTAGATGTATACATTTTATTTGTAATAAAAAATAATTAACTCCAAAACCTTTGCTCTAATAGTAATATTTTCTTACATACCGGATTGTAAGTGTATGCCAATTTTTTTTATTATTGTGTTTTTTGATGATGTTGTTAAAATTTGTACAAAACTAGTTTTAAAAACTGAATCCCAGATGACTTATATGCTGCTGCCTGAGATGGTTAAAAGAAAAAAAGGTGGTGTAGTTGTCGTCTCATCAGGGTCTTCTACCCACATCAGCCCACAAATGACAGTCTATTCAGCTACCAAGGTACCTCAGTAAAAATAAAAATTAAGACCACAGTATACATTTTTTGTTTTGATATTGGAGTTCAAATCACATACAATGATAATATAATAACTCACTTTAGATTTTTAATAACATATATTTCCTGTTTTCATAGAGACATTTGTTTGAAATTTTTTTCTCTTTATTCAGAAATATAATGCTCTTAGATTACTTTTCATATTAAAATGTAAATTTCTTTTCATTTGATTAGAGATATCTGGACTACTTTATACATGGTTTGGCCTACGAGTATGGCCAATCTGGAGTTACCTTCCAGTGTCTGATTCCATTCTACACAGCTACTAGGATGACAGGGTACAGCGAGAGGCTGTCAAAGACGAGGTTTTTAATACCCAATGCTGAAGCCTATGCAAGAAGCGCAGTATGCACCTTAACAAAATCATCCTGTACCACTGGGTATTTCCCTCATACTTTACAGGTAATTTTACATTGAATATTATCAGGTTGTTTAAAGTTAAATAGCTATGTTTCATGTATATGTGTTTGTGTGTGTACAAACATACTTTACAGGTAATTTTACACTGAAGATTATCGTGTTGTTTAAAGTTAAATAGCTATGTTTCATGTATATGTGTCAGTGTATGTACACACATAAAAAGTAAGTAAAGTAAAGTTTCCCTTTCAAAAACTGACGGTCCATGGGGCAAGTGAAGTAGAGTTCACTTGTTTCTGTGACCTCGGCATATGAAGAGATAGTGTGGTCAGCACTATGCCCAGCCGCCTTTACTTTCCCTAGCGTGTACACACATACTTTACAGTTAATTTTACACTAATAGTATCAGTACACCAGTATTTTTAAGTTAAATAGCGATGTATCGGTATGAACACAAACATTTTAAAAAATATATGCATTTATCAACTATCACTACAGCTGTGGATATCAAAATCTCTACCCTCATGGGTGTGGATGTGGGCGTCAAATAAACTGAATAGTTCACTAAGACGAGAGGCCTTAACAAGACTGTCAAAGAAACTTCCAAAATCTGAATCAGGAGTCATGGAAAGATAAATTGTCAACTTTAACATGTTGATTGAGAAGGAAACTTTAAAAACATTTATCTAATGACATGCAAGACTGTCTCCCAGTAGGAAGCTAGCAAATGTTTACGTAACCAGTGTTTAGACATAATGTTTTAAGTATACCTGCAGTCACCAAAATTAACAAATTATGTTGTGGAGGATTTACTAGCATTTTAACAAATTATACAAATAAATGTTTTTTCCTTCTTAGGTAAATACATTTTCTTTTGATTGAAATAATTTTTCAGTGAGTTACACTGTCCATTGCCAAAACAGCTTGGAAAAAAAAAAAGAACCCAAACAAATTTGAAATATAAATCAAGAAAAAAAATACTTTGAAACACTAAAAATAATATTAAAGTGTTTAAACCTGATTTCTCCTCCATCACTCATGAAGCTTTATGTTTACCAGAGAGTGTTACATATGTACAAGTAAAGTCATACGGCTAACCTATAGTGATAACAACCTTACAATAAATGGGTTAAGCTACAAAAACCAAAACTTTTACACTTTCCCTCCAGGAAAACTAAACAGTGATATAAAATTTAATATATAATGTTGATATGTACTTTGTTGTTCTATTTGGAAAAAAAAAATTATGTAAACTCATCCCTAATACAATATTAACTAAGTTTAACAGCTATCTTATTATAACTTTTTTTAAAAAATTAACTTAAATATTCTTATTAATGCCCCCAAAGATTCTAATAGCCAAATATTTTTGTATTATTTTTGGCCTACTTCAGGTTTAATCTTATTGGTTAAAAATACTGCTTCCATTGTCATCTCTTGAGTTTGAAGCTTAAACCTCTGACATTGTTTTTTTCTATTATTGAGAGTAGATCTCAGTGTTTCAAGTGCTTTATTTTTATCATGTGGGAAGTATTTATACTTTATTGTGCCATTAAAACAAATTTTTATTTTTTAAGTTTTTAAAATTTTGTTTCTTTCTTGCTTTGTGATTTTACAAATACAATTAATATGTGATCTCCATGTTCCTACTATATCTTGTCATTTTACAATTGAGCAAAATAATAATATTACACAAACTCGTGTGAAAAATAATTCAGTATAACAGCACAAGTGTAATACTATGACATACTTTTGTTTATAAATCAACATTCAGTACTACAGGTTCTCTGTTCTGATGGAAAGAACTCTATTTAGGAAAGTGAAACAGCTATGTAGTTTAAAAACAATGAAAAACAATTTTTTACCTGTTTATAACAAAGCCTTGTTCTAAAGTCATCAATATATACCAGATATTATACTTAGTTCCATTTTAGAACCTGATGGTCCGTGGGGCAAATGAAATAGAGTTCACCTGTTTCTGCGACCTTGGCATATGAAGGGATAATAAGGTAAGCACTATGCTTAACCACCTTTACTTTCCCTAATGTGAGTTAGGTACCCATCAAAGCTGGGTGAACTCAAGACGTTCAATTGACTTGTACCTGGATTTGAACTCGACACTTATGGGTTAGCAGTCTAGTCTGTTTATTATACTTTGCCTGATTCAAAAGTTTAAATTAGAAATCCTGTTAAGTATGTTCCAGTTGATTATCCGTTGATTTTGTATAATTTATTAGTGGATCAATATAACAGACTATTACATAATGAAATACAACAAGGCGGTAAATCAACCCCATTCACATTGCATAATATTGCAGGATTTCTTTGGTAATTTGTACTAAATGGGTTACTTCTAAATCTTTGAGAGTTATTTCAGTTAGTGGGGGTATGCCTCACATGCTATCTACTAGTCTTCCAAATAGAAACCATTCACCCTACAACTGACAGGATTTTCTAACTAAATGGAAACAAGTGTGTTGGTTAGCATTGGAAGCAGGAGTGTGGTGTTTTGATAAATAAAAAATAAAATAAATATGTATTCTTTTAAGGGGTCCATGGTCACCCCCTACTACACCCTACTGAATATGAAGCTAACTAAAAGGCTCACATCTTCAAAAATCAGTTCCGTGTACAGATCCTGGGATAAGTTATGTAGCAAAAAGTGAAAAGCTGACACGATAATAGAATATTGTAAAATGTCACCCATATTCTCTGGATTAGAGGGTTAACTTGAGATTAAATTTTAAACTCTTATTTAATGCTACCCTTTCTAATGCAGTGCTTTCTTTTAACCTTGCCCTGATACTATCTGCGAACAACTAATCAACGCAAATTAGTTGGCTCACATTGCTCCTAATCCCAACCATAATCTCAAAATAAAAACAAAAAACTGGATCCAGTACTTTGGTATAATGACCAATACTGCATTAAAAGATTACTTAAATAATCCTGCTTGAAACATAATTTTAAGGTTGTTGAAAGTTTTTATAAAATAAAGTAATGAAATTTGTGAAATTGTATTATTATTTTTAAACTTCTGATGGTTTAGGTCATTAGTATTTATCTTTTAAAGATTAATTTTTATAAGTTAGGTTTTGGTAATTATTTGAAACAACAGAAATTGGTGAACAAAGGAAGCTAACCGGTAATATTCCTGCCATTTAAGAATGTTGTGTCCAATTGGCCATAACATTAAAAACAACTCATCATCATCTCTTACATTTTTTTTTAAATACAATGTAGATCTATTCAGTGGCGTAGCGAGGTCGGGTGTCACCCGGTGCGGCACTTAATGGTGTCACCCCCCCCCCAGAGGCGTTGCGACCCTTCCCGGGGACAAACTTTCATGTTTTCGATTTGCACCCCCCCTCAAACTTTCGATTTGCACCCCCCCCCTCAAGTTTTTTATTTGCCCCCCCCCCCTCAAACTTTCGATTTGCACCCCCCCCCTCAAGTTTTTCTCTATATATTTTGCTATTTTTTGCCTTGGTGTCACCCCCCTAAATGGTGTCACCCGGTGCGGTCCGCACCCCCCGCCCCCCCCCCCCCCTCGCTACGCCCCTGGATCTATTTACCTTTAATGATGTTATAATCACTTCTGTTAAAAACACAGTTTCGTTTCTAAGGGAACTAATCGTTATCACTTGCGATAATAATTTGTTGAGTAGCTTCCCTTTGTTTATAAAAAATCATTGTGAGTTTTTAATTAATTTTTAAATTGATTAAGAATTTCAAAATAATTTAGCAAACAATGCTAACAAAGTTTTAAAATATGTACTTATTGTAACGCATTGTTTTAAATACCCTTTAAAAAAATGTTTACCTCTAGCCAAGTCTATAATCTTAAAAGTTCCACATACATGGGGGGGGGGGTCCATAAATGACGTCACACTCGTAGGGGGAGGGGGTCCGTAATTTTGTGACGGTGTGTGATGAGGGCGAGGGGGAGGATCAGATGGTGTGCTTTATAAAAAAGCAATGTTAGAAAACGAATTTTAGATTTTATTTTGCGTTGTAATAACAATTGATTAAAATACTCTATTTTGACAGTTCAGACAAGATTTTGGATAAATATAGCTGTTTAAAAAAAATTCAACTGCAATTTTGAGGGGGGGGGGGGGGGGGTTGTAGGCTGAGGTGTGACGTCATTTCTGGCTTTTTGTGACGACGTGTGACGGAGGGGAGGGGGGAGGTAAAAAATCGTCCAAAAAAGCGTGACGTCATTAATGGATGTTAATAATGGATGACCCCTTGTTAATAAAGTTGGTTTGATAAATAGAAATCTGCATTATTATATATTAGAGTGAAACAGAATCAACATTGGAATAAATGCTTAGTAGGGGGTCATCCATAAATGACGTCACACTGGTAGGGGGGAGGGGGGGTCCGTAATTTTGTGACGATGTGTGATGAGGGGGAGGGGGGGGGGGGTCAGATGTTGCGACGTCACATTTTTGCATTATAAAAAAGCAATGTTAGAAAACGAATTTTAGACGTTATTTCGCGTTTTAGATAACTGTTTTAATAAATTGTAATAGTTTAGACAAGATTTTGGAAAAATATCAATGTTTTAAAAAAATTCAACTGCAATTTTGAGGGGGGTTGTAGGTTGAGGTGTGACGTCATTTTAGGGGGGGGGTCTGGCTTTTTGTGACGAAGTGTGACGGAGGGGAGGGGGGGAGGTAAAAATCGTCAAAAAAAGCGTGACGTCATTTATGGATGACCCCTAGAGTGAATAATTTCTTCATGACAAAATACTTGGTCTTAGATGTCATTACTTTTAATTGTTAAGCCTTATTTAGGGAATTGACGAAAACTCATTTTTTCACAATGGAAAAAAAAACAGATAAATATTGAGGACATTTTTTGCCTTCTTGCAATCTGTCTAAAATATAAAATAAGTGTCCTGACTAGAAATATATCCAGATTTTTCTACATGTGAATACAAATAAATGCCTAATGTAGACTATAAATTAAAAAATAGATTTTCTTAAAAAAAAAAGAATTTCTCTTCTGAGAGGACATTTGATTAGGTTTTATTATATATATAACTGTAAGCATTTGGGTCTGTCCGTCTATTTTTTATACCTTTCACTTGATTGCCAAAAACGTTGGGGATTTGATTGGAATACTCCTGTGACTGTTTCTGAGTGGAAAAAAATAATTTCGGCCCCAAGGACTCATGGGGGCACCAATGAATAATATTATACGTAAATTTTGAATAATCAGAGGAATTAGCAACGTTTAGATTATTTAGCAAAAAATATTAACTTGTCTGTTTCCCTTCGTCGATAAAATTAAAAAGAACCTTCTGTTCTAAAAATAACGATTAAAGAACAGTTATAGTACGTTACGTAATAAAGTGAGTTTCGTCAGAAAAGTTACTCTTCTAAAAATAGCGATTGGTAATCTACCTACGCTTATAAACATGAAAGCATTATCTGTCTGTGTGTTTTGCCTTTTAAGTATAACTCAGAGTTTGGGAAGTTGTTGAGAATACTCCTTGGGAGGTTCGATTTAAAGTGTATGCTCCACTATGGATACCATGGTCTACTATATTTCACTAAATAAAATTATATATATATATATATATTATTCATATATATATATATATATATATATATATATATATATATATATATATATATATATATAATATATATATATTTATATATAGATCTAGATCTATACAGTGTTGGATTGGGTGAGCATGAATTCTATGTAACAACTATAAAAGCAGATCTAATTTCAATCCAAGATTTCGCTAGAAATTCCGATGAATTGATGTTATTACTTGATTGAAGAATGTGATTTTTTAAAAAAATCTTCTGAAATTCATTCTTTTACAAATTCAGGTTTTAAATTTGTGGTCAGCCCAATACACTGCTTTATTAGTCTTAATTCACTTGCCAGATGCGTAGCTACCCAAATTACCCCCCCCCCCCCGTACATAGTTATTCTTGTTGATGAAACGAAACTGGGCTTTAATTACAATGTCACAAAATTGATGTAGATCTAGAAAACAGTTAAATCGGCCAGGAACCCAAAGTAGTCTATTTTCTTAACTGTGACTGAGTATAAAAAAATAATGCAACTCAGAGTGAATTTTTATTGTATTTCTAATTTCTACCCTGCTTGGCGCCCCCTTAAGGTCGGTCCCTGGGTGGCCACTTCACACACCTTCCCTTAACCATCTGCTACTAAGCAGTGTTTCTTCCAGACGTCTATCCTGAGGAGGGTCTTATAATGATCTTAAAAGTAGCTAATGAAAGCTAACATTTATGCATAATAAAACTTGATCATTTTCATTAATTGATTACTTATTTTTTTTAAATGTATCTATGGGTCTATGCCTGGTAATTAAACTTATCTATTTTTAGAAAACGATTTTAAGAGCTTCAGCTTTTGATTGCAGATGGAAACTCGTTCGTTATCTTTCTATGTCAAACTGTTTAGTAACGATATTTTTATCGATAGTGTGTTGCTCTATGCCTGTGTTGGCTACCTTTATAAGATATTCATCCTCAGTAAGATATCTTAAAATTAAAATTTGTCATGATTCTAATTTGGTTGCAAAATAACTTACAAGGAGTGTTTTAAAGACTAAAAGAGTAAGGCACTTTTAATAGTTTCTAAAGGCGTATCGAGGTTTTTTTGTACTTTACGAGTCTAAACTTTATTTATTCTCTTTACTTTAGCCTAATCCTTGTTTTGCAAAACTAAAAATAGATTTAGGCCTAGTTCAATATAGGAAATAGGACAGGTAGTGTAAGTTGGTGTCAGAGAAGTAATAGTACAGTCCACAAAGTAGGTTGACATTTTATATCACAATTTCGTCACGTATGTAGATCTAGTTCTAAATATTAAATATTATAAAAACTACCCGGGTATCGAATCTAGAATATTGGTTAGCTATAAAGTTTTCAAATTATTTTTTATTTTATGATCTAGATTTAGATCTAGATCTAGACTAGATTCTAGAAAATCTATCAGTAGTCAGTAGTGTTGTAGGCCTAGTTAAAAGTTATTTGAGTCTAGTAAATTTACTAAATTAGTACTACTGTAGTAAGTAGTTAGAATCTAGTAGTAGTTGAAGTTGACAATCCAAACCAGCAAATCTATTGTAAAAAATTGTAATAATAACCAACTTCTAATTATTAAATCTAATAAAAACAATAGTTATTAGCCATACTATACCTACTAAAGAGTAAAGACTCTTTACTTACTTAAAGCCTACCACTTTAAGACTAGCTTTGGCTTTACTAACTGGTGAACAAACTAAAATTAAAAGTTAAATGTAAAACTAACCCACTAATATTATATTAATAGATCTCAGAGTTTCTTCCAGGCATCTTTTCGGGGCGGGGGGGGGGGGCAAAGCCCCCCCCCCCCGAAACATTTTTACTGCCCCCCCCCCCCGAACAAAATGAAATTTATATAATTGATATAGAAAATATATACTAATATATACTTTTAACAGTGTCCGCTCCCCCGAAGAAAGTCTACCGCCCCCCCCCCCCCCCCCCCCCCGGAGAAAAAAGTCCGGAAGAAACACTGATAGATCTAGATCTAGTACTCAGTCTAGTAGTAATAAATTATCAAATTAAGCCCATAGGTAGGCTAGGCCTATTTTTTTTAATTTCCTTATTTTAATAATATGATTAGGCCTATATATATTATAGGCCTCTACTTACTTAGTACTTGCTTAAATTCAATTATTCATTACAATACAATTTGAACACTATGAGCCCTACGTTAGTAGTACGTTTGTTTTAAAGTGCCATACACTATGGCCACGACGGGTTATTATAATAGTTGATTAAATCTGATCATACAACTCTGCCGCCCCCCCCCCCCCCCCCCCCCCCCCCCAAGAGGTCTAGAGCACCTGCATTCGCTTTAAGGCTTTAAGGAGTCAAGGAGTACCAAACTTTTATGAAGGGTAAATATTGATTAAATTAATGTACACTTTACACTTAGTGCGTTCATACTTCACCTCCGGGGGCATCTAGGCAGTAGTGTGGACAAAGTCGCGCCCCCCAACAACTATCATCCAATAGAAGGCTGACATTGTTTATAATAAAATAACTTAGTTTTAGAAAACAAATACTCGATAAAACCCTTTCAAAATGTTTCACCACTCTGGTGTGTAGGACTAGATCACAATGCTAGTTTTTTGTATAATTTCTAAAACAATCCTTTACTAACAGGTCCCTTATGCCAAATCATTCTATATGGTCTTACATTATGAATAGGATAATTTTAGAAATTAATTTTAACTAAGCTATTATTCTAACTCTTTTTGTTTCAGTATAAATCACAAGTTTGAAGCTCATTAATAAAGAATTAAAATGGTTATTCATGAAAGTAAGGTCTAATAACCAACACTTTTTTCCTCATGTGTGTGTGTTCTACAATTTAACTAGTGACTCTATCCTAACATCAGAATTCTATATTTTAACTGTGCTCTCTTAGCTTGTGTTAACACTAATGCTCTCTTTATTAACCTCTGTTACCATGTTGTTATTTTTAAAATTACGAGCAAGCTGTTATTTAAAGTGCATTGCATTAGATAAAGAGTATTAAAATTTAGTATCAGTTGTAGAAATTAACAGTTAAAAAAAGAACTGAACATATGCAATATTTGTTTTTCAATGTATTTTTCAAAAAAATATTCCTGAGATAATTTTTATTTTTATGAATATTTGAATAAATAAATAAATGAAGCATTTAAATATAATATTTATTTAATTTATTTATTTTAATTTTATAAAGCAAAGGCTAAAGTCAATGTGGGAATATTTGTGACAACATTCTAACCCTCTAGTGACTAAGTCAGTCGTTCATTTTCATTTGCAGTTAAACATTTCATTCAATTATTGGTTTATTTCCAAAATATATTTTGTTTTTCTTTATATTCATTATATAAATGTGATCTTAACTTGTTTCTATTTATTATTTGCTCTGTTTATAGTTTATTTATTTACATTATTTCATTTATTTTAATTATTAGCCTAATTAATAAATGTTTAGTCATAAATAATATAAAAAAATGAACATTTAAAAATGTAGGCCTAGTACTAGTATTATTGTATAAATTTGTCTTGTATTAGATCTATTTTATTTTCTAGTATTATGGTGGCCTGTACCTTATTTTAGTTTGATTGATACTGATCATACTGGAGAGTTTCTCTAGCAAGTAATAACATTTCTTAATTATACTGGGAATTCCCAATGTTATGTTATTTTTTCCTTAAAAGAAATAAGGATTTACTTTACTTCTGGTTTTTACTATTATATTTCTGTAGTTCATTTGATTAGAAGAAGTCATTTATACCCTATACACAGTATTATACATAGATTTTAGATTAAATTAGAAATATTTCTATAAATTTAGTAGTGGATTCTTGTTTGTAATGTTGCTAGAACTAGTAGTAACACTTAGATATAGATCTAGTAAGTTTCAGATTGGTTTGATTTAGATCTGACACAAATGATTAATTTACAACTTAAAAATGTTGTACGAACCTCACCTAATAACATTTTTTGTGACTGTTTAGTACTAATATCAGTATTATTACCTTCAAAAATATATTTAAAGCATGCTCTTTGTATGCAATATTGATTATTAAATAGAAAAATGTAAAATGTTGTGACTTAGAACTAAAAATGCTAGTATTTGCAACCCTTTCTCTTGACCTTTGCCCTGAACCCAACACTTATCTCTTAGGCCTTATCATGAATGTAACTGTGATACAAGCAGCACAAATACTAGATACACACACATGTCTCCAGATCTAGCGCTTATCAGTATTTTAACAAAAACCCAAATATGCTTAAAAGTAAAAAAAAAAAAATTTAACATCACTCTTGTTTGATGTAATAAGCTTTGCAAGAGAGTAAGAGAGGTAATATAAGTATAATAATAATGTTTTCCATGATCAGAATTTTATTTTTAAATAATAATCTACATTATTTGTAATAAGATCTTCCAATGACAAGCTCAACTTCTCATTTTAAAATGTGTCTTCCTCACTGTAAATCTATCTCAACTATACATTGTGTTCAGCTTTTTATACAGCCTTAATAAGATGTAATAAATATTCTCTCTCTCCTTAGATAAAAGATCATGGGATACGGGAGGATTCCTCCCCCATGGACACCGAGTGAAGATCTTTTAGGCAGGACGTGGCACCAGAAAGCTAACAGAACCATTTGTTTCGAGCGTAAGCATCGGAGATCAACCAAAATGGCAAATTTGTTCCCACAGAAAGCCATGTATAGGGCAACCTATACAACATATGCTGGGAAAATACCCTCCATGCCTGGGAGTAGCCTGCAGGGGTATGACAACGTAATGCAGTACCCTCATATAGAGGCCTCGCCAACCAACATACAGCTAAGCTTGTCGCCTCCCGTTCCTGCTGTGGAATACGTGCCCACAGCAAACCAAGAGTATGTTTTTTACCAGCCGTCGCATGTCCAGCAAGTACTTCCTGTTTACCCCGGCTTACACATGCAACCAAATTACATCCCGCACCAGCTGCAAAGTGCGCCTTTCATGGTGTGGGAGAGTCCATCTCAGAATGCAAACTTCATTACACCTTTGTCTCAGAATGGAATGTACCAACCTATCCATATTATAGATGCACATGAGCAGTACATTCAGAATGAATATGCAGGTTTAAAAACAAATGAGTACATAGAAGCATATCCTAGAAACAGTCAACAGATACAAGGAAGACATGGGTCCAATGGCGTATATCCGCCAGGTCAGCTGGAGTCGTCAAGTGTTAAACCTCCAGCCAAGAAAATTCAGGAACTAGCTGGAAACAAGACTACGCCTGAGTCTCAAGCCAACAATTTTCAGACTTCAAATGTGAGTGCTGTAACTTTTTTGACATATTTTGAAATATTTTTATAAACTTCTTTGTGTTACAAGGCACATCAATTTATAACTTTCAAAAATCATTGTTGTCTTTTCTTTAACAGGTTAGGGAAAATAAAAATCTTTCTAGTTTAATGCAAATGTTTACAGGTTCTTTTAAAATAAGATGTAAATTAAATAAAAACTATATTTTTTTTTTAAATACGACTTTAAAATGGTACTGATTTGTTATTATGTAAAATAATAATTTTAACTATAGTCCTATCAACACACTACATAAATTATTAACAATTTTTCTGTGGTTATAGTTGCGTTGTGAATAATTTTATTGCGCTTCATCTATTCTATTTTTGGTTCTTATCGTCCAGGAGCCTGGTCTTACAGAACAGAAAGTTGTGCAAACAGAAAATGTCACCATTAAAGACTTGGCCTTTGAATTTGTGGAGTCATTTTGCCCACATTTGGGTAACGAGACATACTGTTTACCACCTATTAAAAGGTAGTTATTAATTTGTTTTTCATATTGTATTGTATTTATAATTTATTCATTTATTTAAAAACAAACTCTTTCAGATAGATTCAATAATGTATTACTTAATTTTCTGAAATAGCTTGTGTCAAAAATTATCTTCTTTTATGGTTCTAGTAGCTTAGGCTTATGGCTGATATTATGTTTTTAAAGCATTTTGAACAATGATTTCATTGATGAAAACTGTTTAGGAATTAAATCAGTATCCTGTTGAATTGATTAGTTCAAGTGGTTACTCAATCCAATAATGAATCTGAGAAATTTAGAATGTACTATCTGGCTATCTGTACTGTCACACATTTTAGGTTGCTATTTTAATAATACACAAATTACAATGATGTTTCAGTTTTTTAAAGCATGAAAAATGTGTACACATATGAATATATTATTATAAATAAATAAAATACCAAAATACTTGACCTAGGACCCCTTCCTCTCCCCCCCCCCCCCTCTCATATTTTTGGCTCCAGTTGAAAATAACACTAATATCAAAGGGGATCATTTCATTATAGCAACTAAGCATATTCCTTCTTTAATTTAGATCCAAGCATCCAGACAAGTCCAGCAAATTGCTTGTGTTGAGCATGGAAAGTGAGAAAAGAGTGTTGGGCTCTTTTGAAAGGTTTTTCTGTGAGAGAAAAATGCCTGTTTTTATGCTGTGTCACTACCCAGTCTCTGGCTTTATGGCAGTTTATAAAAATCAGATCAATAACAGCTTACACAGGTGAGTTCAGTATGTTTTTACCTGACTTGTATTAGTATCTGCATATATTTTGTGTATATTCTTGTTAAAAAAGATAAAGGGCTTTTTATGTTTGAAATTAATATAAATGAAAATAGTTTGTGCAGTATCTGCACATTTAAAATCTTTGCAACACAATTATTTCAGTTAACATTTAAGCTGTTTTATTCTCTAGTGGTGGTTTGATTTTATATTGCATATAATTAAAAATTACAGTGTTAATTATTCAATCAGGTTTTGAAATTACACTTTTAACTGGGATTTTTAAAACTGTTTTTACATTTTACCATGCATTTTTTAAGAAAGGCTTTTCCATGATGTTTTCCAGAGAAGTGAAAAATCTGGCCAACACTAGAGACACAGTGACCCTGCTGCTACTGTCCAGCCAGTTCACCCTGACTGTCGTCACTGTCAGCATCATCAGCGGCAACTCTGACTTTGCTTACATCCAAGCTGGGGTCATGAAGGCCATCACCCACATGAAGCGCTGCAGGGCCTCCGTGTCTCAGTGGCTGGTGACCTTAGGGATCAGGTCAGAGGTCAAGGAAGTCATTGCTTTCCCTAATTTAAAGAAAGCTATGATGCAGAGGATTACCAAAGAAAGGGTTTGAATTTATTTTTCTTGTTACAATTTTGTATTATTTAATGCAGTAAAATTGAAAGTTTTGTGGTTAATTAATGTGAAGAACCACATTCAAACTTTACTGTTGATATAATGTAATTAGAGTTTATTTTCTCATGATTTTCTGCCATTTTTCTTGGTCCCATGCTACTTTGAGTACTCCTGTAATGGGCAGCCCAGTCCAATCTTTGATGTCCTCCATCCAATGATGTCTTTGCCTTCCAGTTCTTCTCCTTCCAGTTGTATTCAGTTCAAATAAGTTGGTTTGGAAATATATTTTTTAAGAAAAAGGGACTTAATCTTTTCTATTTTTCTTTATGTTTTTTACTGTACATAAATATTTTAAAGTCAGTAAATAGTAGCTTAAATTTTTTTTCTATGCAGTTTTTCAAGCAGAGCTATGGAACATTATGCACCCTACATGTGGATGATTTATCTGCCCCTTTTGAAGAGGAATGGTCGACTGATGTGTACAGAGAACGTTTTACTGAGTGGATGAAGGCAAAAGTTTTGTGCAACACCAGCAGTCTCCTGACTAAAGATGACCTGGCTTTACTGGTCGGGGCCTTGCTGTCCCCAAAGTAAGGGTTCTAATAACTGACCAATATATTTGACATGCTTTTGATAGTTGATTACTTAAAGATTCCAACTTTTTAATTATTAACTTACTTCAATGATCAAGTCTTACATAACTGTTACAACTCTGGCCTTTAGTCTCAGTTTAACATGCATTATGAATGTTTTACCAAAAAATAATTGTGTAAATTTCTTTGTTTAGGTTGTCTACTGTTGAATATGTTAAAGATTTGACCACAATTAGCCCAGTTACAAATTCACCCTTGCGGTCTGAGAGTCCAAAGGGCAGCACTGAGGTAACTCTTGTTTTTAGTTGGTGAAAAGATATTAATTATTTGTGTTTGCATTTTAATGCTCCTTAAAATCTTTATTATTTTGGTAATCATTACATAATAGCTGATTTAAAAAAAATTCAATTCAATAAAAAAATTAATATAAATTAATGTAAGAACGAGAGTGTTGTAATATGTTATTCTAAACAATTGAATATGTTTTCACAGAACTTAGGTCAGCTAAAATTAACAATTGATGGTGTGACAAGAGGTTTTGATGAGTTCATGGACGACTACGTCAGCTGTTACTATCCTGATGTTGATACCAAGAGCTACCGTGTTCCACCCATCCACTTCAACATACAGTCTTTTCATAAACCTGAGGAATACATAAAGAAACACAAAGAAAACCTCACCACGAAGGACGAGGAAAGTGATGATGAGATGGATGAAGCTGGTTTTATGCCACAACGCCCAGCAAACTTAGTCTGGTCTCCTTATTTGTATAGCACGCCAAATAACAATTCTGTAGGGATCAACCAAGAAAGGGTACCTTCTCCGTTCAACATTCCACATGATAGTTCACAAGAGGCTGATGTAAAAATAGATATTAATGATCTCCCGCATGCAAACTCACTACCCAAAGCCAAATCTGTGAAACAAGAGCCGCAGCTTTCTGCTAATGTGTTTCATCCTAAAGAGCCGTCAACAGCTTTGGTCAAGTTGGCCCACAATGACAACTACCAGAAGTTTGATCCCAAGCTCTACTTTTTGCTCACAACCTTGCCAGTCTCTACACCTACTGCTGGCAGTGGTAAAAGTGTTGGAACTTTGGCATCAAGAGCCAAGTCCCCCACCAGAGCAGGAAAAATTTCAAAGATTAAAGTTAGTGAGAAGGGGAAAAGCACCAGTGAGGCTCTTCAGTTAAAGGTGCTAAAGGATGTTGAAATTCTGGCTGAAGTTATGAAGAAGGACACCAGAGCAGATGAAGGTTAGATTTTTTAAATTTTCTTGACAGGACTACTAAGTTTTTATTTCCTACCCATTAGTTGTTTTATTTTGATTTGTCATTAAAAGGTTAAAATTTTGGAGGCAAATACTTCGTACATACCAGACACAATTGTAAAATGTTGAGAGCCAGCAAAACAAAATGTAATATTGTTTAAATCTTATAAAGGGACATAATCATGTCGAATGTCATTTCCCAGTGTTTATATTATGTTGATCAGAATTGTGTTCTGAATTATTATATTTTCCCCATTCATGTCCAAGAAACATAGGGCAGTTGTAGTAGGGTTAATCTTTTTCAATGACCTCAGCATACAGAAGAATAGTATGGTCAGCATTATGCCCAGATGTCTTAGTTTCCTGTACGTAAATCAGACACCCATCAGAGCTGGATGGACTCTAGGATATCATATCCTAGACTTGAGCCTGGAATCCAAACTTAAAACACAGCTTGATATCATCTGAATATTTAGTACTATATCAGATTTGAATGTTTGTTTAAGGAAAAACAAATGCCACTGAAAAATATTATTTTTACCACTCAGGAGAAAACCGTGTCATTAGTGCACTAGAGATCATTGGTCAGTATGACGAGCCAATGTTCATCATCTGTGGCTACCAGTACAACAACTACTTGAACAAGCTGAGGGAGGAGATGTTTTCTAAAGGAGAGACCAACAGACCAGTCAGGGCGTTTGGCCAGACCATGAGGGCTGAGCATGACTGTCTCATTTTTCATAAAGTAACACTGGTTTATTTTTTCTTTCTCAGTGTTTATCACTTTTGGAAACCTAAGTATTTTACATAGAAATTTCAGTCATATGTGTTATTAAGTGTACATACTATACTGACTGCAGTAGTCTCTTGTGTAGATAGATATGACTGAATGAAATGCGTAGGGTAGACTCTTGATTTTGTTGCATTCACAAACTCCTGCCACTATTTATTTATATAAAAATGATTCGTCTTTACACCTAACAATACATTGGGCAGATGAAGTGGAGTTCATATGTTTCTTGACCTCGGCATATGAAGGGATAATGTAGTCAGCACTATGCCCAGCCACCTTTACTTTCCTTAACATGCGTTAGGCACCCATCAAAGTTGGGTGGACTCACTGACAGTCCACTATCTTTAACCCGGATTTGAACTCAAAGCTATTGGGTTAGCAGTCTAGCGCATTTATTTATATAGATAATAGTAAAAATTGAAGCTGAGTGTAGCTTTTCTAAAATAATTTTGTTTTTAATTTATAGGACATTTTCATTTACAGACCAAACGATTGTACTTATTATAAGTTAAATTATCTCTTACCAATAGCATGCTGTTATGGTCTTTATAATACTTTTTTTTAATCTCTCAGCAATATTGTGTTTATATCATCTGTACCTTCTGTCATCTCTCAGCAATATGGTGCTATTATCATCTGTATAAAAGCCATTGGGGACAATTTCACTGACTGGGATGCAAGCGAGGAACAGAAGATGGAGTCCACCAAAAAAATCTTGGAGAAAGCCCTGAAGCAGCTGAAGCGCGAGGAGGACATGATTCATCACGTCATTCGTGATGTCTGTGAGCTCACATGCCACAAGTTGATTGCCCTGCCCAATTTGATGAGGAAAAATGTTAAAGCTGCTCTACAGAAGGACCCTAAGCTGTTAGAGGTATGTAGATGTATGCTGTCGACCATTTTTATGATCTACGCTATAAAAATGTATGATCTGTAAGGCTGATAGTCTAAGTTCATTTGTAATGAAAACTGTGGCTAGTACATTGTAGTTATTTTTTTTCCTCCAGTACTTTGAAGTAGGTGCTGTCATTGTCAAGCCAAGACCTAATTTTGGCAAACATTCTTTGATGTTTTGCTTTTATCTTTTTGGTTTTCATATTGTCGTTTTACACTGTGTTATATCATAGTCCTTATCAATAGTCCATTTCATTCCCTAGAAAATAAAAAAACATTATTGCATGACAGTGGTAGCTTGCTTTGAATGTCGAGTGTTAGTAAGTTAAGTTGGTTTCAAAATATTTTGTATTTCTCCTTTGTATAAAGAGGTAGTTCTAAGAAGGGAAATAATTTTAATGTAATTAATATTGTTGAAATTTTTTCATGACTTTAATAATGTTAATCATTCTAGTAAAAATAATGACTGAGGATGGGGTTTGAAAATAAATTCAATGAGATCTAACAGTTTGGTGATTGTTGTTGATTACCTCCCTTAAATCCCTATTTTTACCCTAAATATTCTAATTATGATTCCTTAGGCTGACATGCTTAAAAATAACATTTTTCTCAAACAAACTATTCATCACAGGATATCAATAAACTGACCAAAGGCTATGGTGCAGATTTGCTACTTTGTCAAGACGAGCTGTCAGAAAAGAACACGCCCATATGGGACTTACCTGAAGGCAAGCTTTTCATGCTGAAAGACTGGTGGGATAAGGTCAAGAAAGCTCTCATGTCAGATTGTAAAGGGCTGGAGAATAGAGTCTACAGGCAGATCATTGGAAGGTGAAGTTTGGTTTTTATCTAGCTGGTCTATGTTTTGTTTTCTCCTCTAAGTAATTAGTACTGTATAACTTTTTTTTAATATCAGAATTTTTTTTTATATCTGTTTATACAATATCAGTTATACAATTATGTTTAACCATAAACAGATTCTTTACAAATAAAACTATACTTAGGTACGGAAAAAAAGTTACTATGATGTACATGGTTATCTCAAAGAAATGTTAGCTGTACTTAATTTGCTGTATAGGCTATCAGGTCTGATATTTTACTTTTATATAATTGTATGTGCTATCTCCTGCAGATATTGTGGCCTGTTGTCCACTGTTGAAGTCTGGAGCCCCAGCAACCCACGAGTTGAAGTCCGGAGTTTATCCGAGGCCGTCAACCTGTGCTCAAAACGTTTCTCCAAACTTGTCTTGCTCCCTCACCAGGTGGAGGTACTCAACTCAGATCACAAACGGCTTTTCCTCTACGGCCCACCTGGCTCAGGGAAGACCCTGCTGCTTATTTTAAAAGCCAGGGAATGGCTTTTAGCAGGGAAAACTGTCATCCTGCTAAACATTAGACCAGGCTCAGTCAACGGATTTCCATACGCTTATGGCATTTTGGACAGGCTTAAAAAAATGATGACGCCATTTAATGTGCCCATCAATAAACTGATAATGATTAATGTGGATTCTCTACGGTTCCAGTCCAACGACCTGTCTCAGATTCTCCCCACATGTTGTGTGATAATGGATGAAGTGACGCCATCCGCCCACCCTATCATTGAGCACCTTAGTTGTCTTCAAGTGCAGCACATCTGGTGCGCTGGAGCCTTCAAGGAGGACCGGCCAGTTACAGCTCACTCATTCCACGCTTGTAAGATGGACAAAATCCTCAGGTGTCCTCCCATTGTCCAGACCATACTGAAACATACAGAGGAGGATGTTAGACTTGGGAGGCCGTACGCTGACATCTACCAGGTCAGCTCGTTTGGACAGCCTCAATCTAAACTAAACCTAACACAGTCAGAGAAGTCTGTTGAAATAGACACGGTGAAACATAACTGGTCAACTGATTCTTCACACTACGATACCACAGGAATCAACAGTAGAGGAAACAGTGATACCAATCTCACAGAGAAGTGTATAGTCACTGTCCAGGGAAATAACTCTGATGTTGTATCAGAAAGTCACAATGAAGGAGCTGGTGAGGTGGATGAGTATGATCCTGATGTGTTGAACAAAAGACTCATGGCTAAATATAAACCAAACTCACAGAAACATAACAGCCCTAGACCAGAATCAAGTGAAGTAACTGATAAAGTTTACCAATTTAAGTCTGAAATTAAAAATAGGAGTAGCCTTTTTGATAAATATGAACTTAAAGACAGAAGTAGCCCTTCAGACAAAGTTAAAGACACAACAGAGAAAGAATCCAATGAAGATCAGTACGACCCAGATTCAGTGAATGAGCGCCTGACATCCAAGTACAAACCCAAGTCCCAGCTCACCAGCCCTGCGGTGCCGGACGTTCCCCCCAACTCTACTGCACCAAAGAACTTGTCCCACTACTCAACCAGCAGTGTGGAGCTCGGCCTGGCCACCGACGGCCCTCGGCCACACATCATTGACCACAGCAAACACCTGAGGTCTCTCAAACCTTTAGACTGCGAGGAATGCGCAGACGACCTGGCCAACTTTTTATTCAGCATGGTCAAGGTGGACGGCAACTATGATCTTGACCACAGGCAACAGCCCAGCAAAAATAAATACGCTTTCAAGTACTCCAGTGGTTATAGTAATAAAGCTAAAATCATAAAGGGAGGGGAGACGACCATATATTCCAACTCTTCCATGATCCATACGAAATCAACCAACAATTCTTCTGGTCATAAACTGGGGACATTGTTTGACAACAAAGCCCTCTTGTGGTCTGATGTTTTAATTGTGGCCAACGAGGTGGAACACGACTCCACTTTTGTAGCCGAGCTTTTGAAAAGAAAAATCCCAGTTGAAGTTGTGAAAGGGGCAGACGCGCACAGGATAGAAACATCCAAGGAGCGCAAGCTGTTTGTGACGACGTACAAGGAGGTGAATGGCATCGAGAGGTCTCTGATTGTGTTTGTGCCGTCAGAGCTGCCTGACCAGCATGCGGAGACAAAAGTTTATGACCTGCGGGACCTTCAGCTTGGACATTGTATCCAGAGGTTCTCAGAGTATGACAGGATGGCCCTCTGGCATGTTGCCTCGCGTAGTCTCTCTGCCCTTGTCATGATTCTACCTTAAGACATGTCTCTTCAATTTGATTATCAAAACAACAGATCTTTGTAACGGAGAATATTTCCAGCGAGATATCACTTAACTTTGTGTGGATTACATAGTGATATCTATTACAAAATTAAGAAAACTACATACTGTGGGCTATAAATTCCAAAAGTTTTATTTTTTTATCCATCCCATAATAATGCTTGATTATTTTTTGTTATTTGGCACATGTAGATATTGACACAATTGACATCTTTTGGTAATAAATTGTGATCAGGGATTTTTTATTTAGCGGTTTTGAGTTATCAGCAAATTTTTAGGCATTCACTGCACATTACAAACATCTTTTAATACATACTGACTTTTGTATTCTTTACTTAAATTAACACAGTATTAATGAGAATTTTATACTTTTTTCATACATTTTTAAATCAATTTTTAGATACAGTAACATTTTATTTTTCATTTACACCCATGAATATTTACTTTTTATTAATTTTTACTCCATTTTATAAAAGAAAGCAGGATTGTTACTAAAGCAGTCTTTTAAAATAGTTCTAGTCATTTGTTAAAGCTTGTTATTAGTATACTTGAAACTTATACAGCACTAATTAATCAAATATTTACAATATAATGATGTACTCCAAGTTCAGGCTTATAAATAAGTTTATGCTGTAATTTTATGCTTAAATTATACTGGGTTTATGTTTTTACTTTTTTTAAAGCAATTATTTCAATGGCCTCTATATATATAAATATATGTGTGTATGTATATATATATATATATATATATATATATATATATATATATATATATATATATATATAATTTTATCTATAAAGTTTTTGCTTTAAACGATTTCGTAACATTTTTATAAATCATAGATGTTTTAGTGGGTTGTTTAAATCTTTTTTTTCCCAAAATCTTATTGCACTTGTAATGTTGACATATGTTAAAAGTTCTGCACATTGCCCTATAGCTTTAATCCGGCATTTAGTCTGGCTATTTACCCCTATTAGACAATAGTTTTAAGCTCAACATTGCTACATGTTGTAACAGCATCAAGTTGTAGCTTCTTGTTAGACTAGAACAGCTGGTTGTTCTTTGAGCTGGGTGCCCTATGGCTGAAGCAAGATTCTAGACTGTCACAGACTTTTGATGGCAATAATGCTGACAAGCATATATTGTAAATGATAGTTTCTTAGCTTTTTGGTATTTCCATTTTAATATCGCCTACTGTAGTTTTTTAATTTTTTAAATTCCATTTCCTACAACCTACTTGGGATTATTTATTTGGGTTTAGTTTGAATATAATTAATATATTTTAAAATGTAGTTAAAAATATTTTTTTTGTAATTTCTAAACTGCAACTCTCTAGTCTAAAAATATTGAATGGTTAGTGTAATTGACAAAAAAATAAATAAAAAAGCACAAGAAACTATCAGCTTTGTGAAAACTACTGGAACCATCTGCTAGTCATGTCTTCTATAACTAACTGCATCCTTCAGAGATCAACTACACTTTATTTTATTTACCCTTTTGCTTTAATTTTTTAAAATATTGTTTTTAGAAACTAAGATAAATCAAGTATAAAAACCATACACTAGTATATGTACTTCTTGTAAGCTCATACACAGAAACTACATTTACTATAAGCAATATAAACACCATGTTTACACTAGAGTTTTTGCTGTATCTTTTGTTTAATGACTTGTTTTTAATTATGGTTGGAAAGGTATCTCAGGTAACACAGAATTACCTGGTGATTTTTATTTTCTTGTGTATAAAATTTGACTTGATTTTTTAAATGATGCTTTGTTATCATTGTCTTAAAATGAATTAATTTTATTCAAAAAATTTAATGAAAAAATTTCATTTTTTTTAAAAAATCAAAATTAAATTGTATAAGTTCTTTTTAAATGATTAAAACTACTTTTATTGATTCGTCTTTAAGTTTGTAGAATCTATGATGCATTGTTTTAAACATTAGTGCATTCATAATAATAAGTCTTTAAAGGAAATATGAGTACTGATGGTATCACAATATAAATTTTAACATGTAAAGATTTATAAAGTGCTTTTTTATAGTGTTAAAATTTTTTATATGTTTTTTGTATTTTATGTGTCATGTTTTATATAAAATTTTCTTTATTATTATTTTAACTAACCAGGGTTTTTTAACACATCTATATACCATTTTTATTTGTGACATACTTGCATTTAATTGTACAGATCAAGCTACATAGCCAAGAATGCCTATATGAATGAATTTTATTGTAGTTAAGAATTCCTTATGGCTGTAATTAGTGTAATTATTCTATACCCTTTAGGTAATAATTTGCAATATGAATATGTATGTGTAATGGTGGCGTCAGTTGCATATTTTAATGTATTTGTACAAACTTCATTCATCCATATTTACTACTGTTCTTAGAAAGTGCTTGAATACATATTTGGTACAGGGGTTATAAGGAGGTAAGGGGTTACGCCACCCTTGATATTTTATTAGTGGATACTTGGGTTATACCATCCTTGATATTTTATAAGTGGATACTTGGGTCATGGCATCCTTGATATTTTATCAGCGGATACTTGGGTTATGGCATCCTTGATATTTTATTAGTGGATACTTGGGTCATGGCGTCCTTGATTATTTATCAGTGGATACTTGGGTTACGGCATCCTTGATATTTTATCAGTGGTGGATACAAACTGTTTATAAAATGTGGTAAGAAGGGTGTCCATCCAGTTCCCCTGGATGATGGATGGGTCTGATGTGACTTGTCATGATGCTGTGACATGTTAGCTCTGCTGCTGTGACAAGTGCTTGGACCAATCCTGATCATGTGACCTGTTCTGGCACTGAGAAGATTCTAGGCCTAGTCTTATTCAAACCTTGATGAGCAGAAGTAACTGTCTAGTGAAACTTAGAGATACTTTATTTCTTGAAAATCTCTAAGAAAAATGATGATATTGATAGGTATTATCATTTGAATATTCATCTTTCATTCTTTTGGTTAAATAGGTCTATTAGTTGATTATATCTCTTTCTTCTTATTAAATAAGTATGTTGGTTGATTAGGTCTCTCTTTTTTATTAAATCAGTGTGTTGGTTGATTAGGTCTCTTTCTTTTGGTTAAAAAGGTCTATATTGGTTGATTAGGTCTCTTTGTTTTGATTAAATAAGTCTGTTGGTTGATTAGATCTCTTTGATTCTTTTGGTTTAATTAATTAAGATAATTAATTCTCTAAGTTGGTTAGGTGTTATATTCCCAAATTGAAAACAGAAAAACAAATGTATATCCAGCAGTGGAAGTGATTCATGTGGTTATGATACATGTCTGCATGTCAACATACAGGAGAGGTCATATGTCAGGTCAAAGGTGACATAGCATTTGTTTTACTCATCCACGGAGTGTGCAGCCAGGAGGAGGGGCGGAAATTAGCCGCACCTGCTGTTTGTGTTTCATTTACTCCAGGTCTGGGTGTTGTCGTCACGTGATGAGCCAGTTGACAGTAGTTTGGTGCTGGTGTTCACGTGATCGTTTACATGTCACTTGATCTCTAGCTGTGTAGTGGCGTAGCTAGGGGAGGGCGGGTGGGGCGGCCGACCCCCAGCGAGCGCCTAACGGGGTAGAAGAAAAAGCTTACCCTGAGCTGCATTATTGAAATATTCACAATCTAAGTTGAGGAATTAGACTGCTACTTGGCTTTACGGACTGGGTTAACTATCTTCGTCATCGATTGTTTGACACCAAAATAAAAAACTGTTACAGGATAGTGATTGGGAGTGGCGCTTTTTCACTACCTTGAATAACTATTAAATTGGGGGGGGGGGGCTAAAATTTGATAATTCGCCCCGGGCGCTATAATGGGTCGCTATGCCTCTGTAGCTGTGTGGATGTTCGAGTGTTGGACTTTAAGCGTTTAGTCCAAACGCAGAGAAACTGAGGTGGTTACGTTTAGGCTTAGATTCAGCGTTATCGTGTCAAAATCTTTGTTCCCTCTAAGCTGCGCGGCCGCACAGTTGTTTTGAACCTGCCGCGCAGCGATTTTGTTAAATACATATATCCTTGTTTAAGACTTTTAGAACACCGCGCACTCAAAGTACCCGTTGCACTTGAACTTTTTCGTCTTAGAGGGAACGTTAGTTAAAATACATTAGCATTTGACGCTAAGCTTAAGCAGGGAAATGCCTAGACTTGCTCTGATAAAGAACTCAAATATTGTTGCGTACTAATCCCTAAACCCCTCCCTCCCCTCCTCCAATTCTTGCAAAACCCAGCCCAGTTCTGGCACTGTAAACTGTAAACAAATGACACCAGTTCCACTGTTGTAGGATTGAAGGCTTGTAGTTGTGTCATCTCCTGAAGTGGTCTACAACCCCCGAGCTGTTTACAGCACCGCTCGTCAACGGTGAAAGGTGGCCGTAAATTTGGGCTGCCACTTGTCGCCTAGTTGTTTGATACTAACATTGTATTTAGTTTTTTTTTCTTCTTTAAACGTTTGCCAGATGTAGTTTATTTCTACCTCGGTCTGATGTATTATTTGTTTGCTCCTTGTATAAACATGAGCTCATTAGCAGCAACAACAGCGTTTACTCTGGGCGGATCTGTTGAACACATAGGTGTTGGTCACCTAATTAATTTAGATGCCGTCTTATCAAAATAATTTACTCTACTTCCCCTGCTTTAGAGACTGCTATAACTCCTAAGGGATTTTAACTACCTTTTATCCAAGAAATTGTTTTTTTTTTTTTATTTTATATTAAATGTATGTGCAATTGTTTCTATAACGTTGTTGGGTTCATAATAAAGGATATGGAAATATAACTGTATTGTTTGTTTGGAGTATGATGTATAAAGGTGTTTATGTTATCATGTATGTGACAACGTAATGCAACAAGGGTGATTTATAAAAATTGCGGTGTTCGTCACAAAAACGACCTTTCGTCATCCTATTTTTTCGTCGTTTGTGCCCAAGACACGAGGCAGATGAAGTAGAGTTAATCTGTTTCAACGACCTCGGCATACAGCGGGATAGCGTGCTCAACATTATGCTCAGTCGCCAAATTGTCCCCAACGTGAGTCCGGTAGTCATCAGAGCTGGGTGGACACGGGGACGTCCTAAAGACTCGAGACTTTCGGGCTAGCAGTCGTAAGCTCGACCGTTCGACCACGCCGCCCCTTTAACCTGAGTTTTAAAAAAAAAGGAGTTTGAAGTGATCTCTATATATGATGTGGAGCAAAAAACAATAACCATTTGTTTCAAAGTGACCAGGAACTAGTGTCCATTTCCGTCGATGTTGACCTGTGGCCAGCAGCAACTCTATCGATACTTTTACCACCACACGATAAGGCCAGCCCTGGTTAACCAATTACCCCACGTTACGTAATGAAAGGGATGGCGATCATTGATCGTATGATAACCCCATACGGGGGGGGGGGGGGGGGGGGGGGGGGGGGGGGGCTATAAAATATTTCTCACAGATTTTTTTTGGCAGTGTGGGATTTGTAAAAGGTAATTTATTTTAAACTCATGACAACCGTTTATTTATTTGTAGCTATTAAAAAATTACTTGTCTAGATTGTTGTTAATATTTTACTGTGAATAAATTGAAATTGATTTGAAGATATTTGAGATACAGGGACCTAAGTATACAACTCAGCTAAAAACTAAGCCCCCCCCCACCCCCCCCCCCCCCCCCCCCCGAAGAGATGCCTGGAAGAAACTC